TCTCCTCTTCTCTCCTCTTCTCTCCTCTTCTCTCCTCTTCTCTCCTCTTCTCTCCTCTTCTCTCCTCTTCTCTCCTCTTCTCTCCTCTTCTCCCTCACTTTCAGGCACACCTTCTCTGTCCAGATCTGCCCCGTGTGCAAGGAAGATCTCTTTTGCCTGCCTCCAGAGGCAGCCAATGCGTGTGGCTTTAAGCCCCTGCTCTCCCTCCCCTTCTCATTTCCGTTCTCCCCTTGTTTTCCCCTCCTATCACCTATCTATCTCCCCCACGGCAGGTACACTTTCTCGGTGGAGATCTGCCCGGTGTGCAAGGAGGATTTGATTTGTCTCCCTCCAAAGGCCGCCAACGCTTGCGGCACAGCCGCAAACCCTCTAGTCCTCTGCATCCGCGTCTCCAATTCGCTGCAGCTGCTCGACCCCTCCACCCTGCTCGCCATCTACCTCGACTCCAACCAGTACTGGCGCTATGGCTTTAAGCCCCTGCTCTCATCGCGACAACTCGTAGAGTATGTTGTTTTAGATGTTGAGGTTGTGGGGGGTGGAGGAGGATGGGGGGGCGGAGGAGGGTGGGGGGGCGGAGGTGGAGGAGGAGGGGGAGGGGGAGGAGTGGGGGGGGCGCCGCACAAGGCGGGGGGAGGGGCGTTGGGGAAGTTTGTGCTGGCAGACGTGCAGGTGGCGCGGGTGGTGGATTTTGGGAAGAACGATGTGATGTTCACAGCGAGGACGCACCTGGGACACCTGTTGAGGCCTGGCGATTACGCCATGGGATACGACCTGCACGGGGCGAACCTCAACAGCGACGATTTGGCCAGGTGAGCTTTCCCGCACGGTGCTGGTGTGCTTTCCCTCCTCCTGGTGGTGGTAGATGTGCGGGTGGTGCGGGAGGCGTCGGGGAGGTAGGTTTGTGCTGGCAGACGTGCAGGTGGCACGGGTGGCGGATTTTGGGAAGAATGATGTGATGTTCACAGCCAGGACGCACTTTGGGGCACCTGCTGAGGCCGTGGGGAACTACACGGTGGGATACGACCTCCATAACCTCTACAGCAACCCTCATGCGCAATAGCCACCCTCCACGGCGTGATTGTGGTGTGCAAGAGCTGCGAGGAGAAGCACAAGAAGCAGCGAAACGAACCTGGGGATTCACTTCGCCTCTTTCCCCTCTCTTCCCCTTTCCGCTCCTCCCTCCCTCCCACCCTGCAGGTACAGCAACAGAGCCACCCTCCCCGACGTGATTCTCGTGCGCAAGAGCTACGAGGAGAAGCGCAAAAAGCGGCAGAGGGACAACCCTGACGCCTCATTCCGCCTCCTTTCCCTCACTTCCGCTTTCCGCTCCTCCCTTCCTCCCCTGCAGGTACAGCAACAGGGCAACGATCCCCGACGTGATTCTCGTGCGCAAAAGCTACGAGGAGAAGCGCAAGAAGCGGCGCGGCAAGCCCCGTGCATGGAAGCTCAAACAGCTCGACATGGAAGTGGACGGGGGCGCCGGGGGCGGAGCAGAGAGAGGAGGGGGAGGCGGCGCGAGGGGACGGATTGATGAAGAGAAAGAGGCGGCAGATAAGGAGAGGTTTCTGGAGGAGCTGGAGGAGGACCCGGACATGCGGTCGCGGATTGCGGTTTACAGGGATCCGAGTTATGTGGCGCCGGCGCAAGGGGGAGGAGGAGGAGTGGGAGGAGGTGATGAGATGGTGAATGGGGAGGAGGAGGAGGAGGATGGGGAGGAGGTTCCGGAGATTCCGTTGGAAGAGCTGCTTTCGGATCTGAGGATTGATGGGGAGGAGGCGGAGGAAGGGGAGGTGGAGGATGATGAGGATGATGCTATGGAGACATGACGAGGATGAGGAGGATGTTGATGTTGATGTTGAGATATGTGGTGGACGATTGACGAGGAGAGGGGACGGCATATAAATAGAGGTATTTCTTGGAGTTGGAGGAGGGGGATGTGATGGAGACATGAGGGGTAGTAGTAGTAGTAGTAGGGCAACACGGCTGAAATTAAACGCTTGAGCATCAGGGTCAACAGTGTACCATAATACTTGTGTGAAACAGTCTCGAGTTGATTTAGGAAATACAGCAGGAATATGTCTCGGCGGTTTCGGGTTTAGTGTGATGCGAATGCCAATCTGGGTAGTGCTGAATATGCAGCGAATCACTACGATTCTGCAGGGAACTTGTTATTATTGTACTTCCTATGGAAGTGGTAAACTCCGATTTCCTCCTGGCAATGGCAGGAAGGAAGCCAGGACGTTTTGAGATCATTTGTCTGACATTTTACTATGTGGGCAGAAATTCTCATGACTTGTCCAAAGGACTTGGTGTGCACCAATACCCTTCCACTGTTGTTACACAAGCGATCAATGGGATGAAACATGGACAAATGGTAAAGAGTGCTGTTTTCTCAACATCAACCACCACTCAACAACACCCTTGGGTTGGGTTGGGTTGGGTTGGGTTGGGTTGGGTTGGGAGTAGCCCTAGCATTGCAAGCACATCATCGCATCCTCTTCTCTTTGCTCGGCACAGCACGTGCTGCTGCTGCTGACTGTGCCTTGCGACTTTTGAGTCGACTCAAAAGTCACCTGGATATAATATCACTTGACGCGACGCGACATCATCGCATCCTCTGCTTCTTGCTTGGCACAACACGTGCTGCTGACTGTGCTTTGCTCTTGAAAACACGCTTCTGAGCTGTCGGTCCTTGGTGTGCCACGCTCGTTCGCTTCTCAACAACACCCCCCTTTCCCTTGCGCACAGGGGCTTGGACTCTTGCCTGCTTACCACCGTGCTTCTCCTTGTCCTCTGATTCGCTCTCTTCCTCCTCCCCTGTCCCTCGTCGTCCGTCTCTTCTTCTGCTTCTTCTTCTTCCTCCTCGTCCACCTCTTCCTCCTCCCCTTCCTCCTCCCCTTCCTCCTCCCCTTCCTCCTCCCCTTCCTCCTCCCCTTCCACCTCACCTTCCTCCTCTCCTTCCTCCTCACCTTCTTCTTTCCCAACTTCCTCTTCCTCCTCTTCCTCCTCGCTCTCCACTTCTTCCTCTCTATTCTCCTCTCCTTCCTCCCTTTCCTCCTCTCCTTCCTCCCTTTCCTCCTCTCCCTCCTCCCCCTCCTCTTCCCCATCCTCCCTCTCCTCCTCTCCTGCCCCTCTCTCTCCCTTACCCTCCTTCCCCTTCAACCCCTCCTCCCTCTTACTCTCCAGATATCTCCACATCTTCATAGCAGCATCCACCTCACTATAATCACCTCCTTTCTCACTCTCATCTCTCTTCTCCTCTCCTCCTCCCTCCCTCTCACCTCCTCTCCTCCTCTCACTCTCCCTCCTTACCTTCTCCTTCAAAACTTCCAAACCAGACGGCCTCTCCTGGGCGGCAGCTTTGGCCTGTAGCGCCAGGGCGGCTTTGCCGCCTGACCCGGCAACCTTCAGTGCCAGCTCAGCTTCCGGCTGTAGCGCCAGGTCAGCGGTCGGCTGTAGCATGGTGAGGGTGGCGAGAGTGTAGTCGACGAGGTAGGAGCTCCGCAGCACGCGCTCGAGACGCGCCAGGTGGCGCTGCGTGTATGGCTGCAGCCCGTCCAGAATCTCCCCGATTCCTGGAATCTGCGTGACGTGGCCGTTGGGTGGGGGTTGGTGGGAAGAAGAAGTTACAGCAAGGGGGTATGAGTGGTGTCTCAACACAGCCTCTGAGCCGAGAGAGACACAGCTTGGCGTCGGTGGTTCCACACGCGCGTATACAGCAGCAGCTGCCGCTGCCTCTCAGTCTGTTCATTCCGTCCCACTTACAGTCCCACCCCCACCCCGCCCCCCTTTCAACACCCCCTCGACCCCAACCATTACCTGCATAAGCGTTGACGGAGGGTGGTGCCTCAGAACAGCAGCCAGCAAGCGTTGAGCCGAAAGACAAAGCTTGGCGTTGGTGTTCCACTCCCGCGCATACAGCAGCAGCTGCCTCAGCTGCGAAAGTTCTAACCCCGCCACCGCCCCTCCTATCCTCTCCTCCGCACCTTCCTTCCTGCCGTGGGGAGAGATGGGGAAGGGGGAGAGTGAGGGAAGGAGGGGAGGGAAGAAGGGAGAGGGGGACGGGGGAGAGAGAGTGAGCGGGAATAGAAGGGCTTTTGGTTAATGAGTGGAATTTTTGGCACAACCGGCTTTCGCACAGGCATTAATCTTAGGGTGAAGAGCAAAGCAGAAGCTACCAGCTCACTTCATGAGGTCTGAGAGCAGGGCTGCCATGGTGGCGGGTCGCTGTAGCTGCAGCGCCAGCTGTAGCGCCGTCACATAGTCCTCTGCTACAGCCGCATTGCGCATCGCCTGCTCCTGCTGCACTGCTTTGACCTGGTGGCAATGAAGAGATAGGTATGGAGGGGAAGAAAGATAAAGACTTGACCGCTTCATAACGAATACAAGTTTCAACGCACAAAACGAATGGTTTCACCTTGCTTTACTATTTGACCGCTTCATAACGAATACAAGTGCACCACAATACACCTATCACCTGCAGTATAACGAGTACAGAGTGTACCACAGTCGCTCACCTGCTCCAGGGCCGCCTCTTCCTGCTCCTGCTGAGTGCAGTCCTGCCACACGTGCACCAATGAGTCGCTGCCACCTGTCGCCAGCATCTCCGACCCTGGGCTCACTGCTAGGGCCCATATCTGTGAGAGGCGGAGAGAGGTGGGGGGATGGGGGGCGGGGTGAGGGACTAGGGGAGAGGGGGAAGAAGGTTGGGGATGCCAGCCAGCGCCCATAACGAGGTGACTTTTGAGTCGACTCAAAAGTCAGCGCCCATATCTGTGAGAGGCGGAGATGGGGGAAACAGAGAGGGGGAGGAGAAACCGGGGGGGGGAGGTTGGGGATGTGGGTGTATTGCCAGCATCTCCGACCCTGGGCTCGCTGCGAGCGCCCATATCTGACAGCAAAGACAGGCGGAGGTGGGGGAGTGGGGAGAGAGGAGGGGGGTTCTTGAGGAGCTTCGAAAAGCATCTCCAACCCTGGGCTCGCTGCGAGCGCCCATATTTGAAGAGAGTGAGCGGAGTATGGGTGGGTGGGGGGAGGGGGAGATGAAGGGCACGGTATGGCAATCTCGTTGTGAGCTCATTGCTGGGAGATGAACGGCAAGGTACCAATGCAATGCAAGGCAACGCAATGCAGTGCGATGCGATGCGATGCAGTGCGATGCGGCAACTTTCCAAACCCCCCCCCCCCCCCCCCCCCCCCCCCACATCTGTTAGGAGAAACCCGTAAAACAGAATCCTCCTCGCCACCCCTTTCCCCCTCCTCTCCATTATCCCTCTTCACCACAATCCCACCTTATCCTCATGCTCATCAAACGTGTTGACACACTCCCCGTCCTTCACACTCCACAGCTTCAGCAGCCCGTCCGCTCCTGTTGACACCACCTGAGCCAGCCACGGAGGAGCGGGGGAAAACGAAATGTGTGAAGGGAGCAGAAGCAGGTCAGAGAAAGAGAGAGAGAGTGAGAGGAGTGAGAGAGGACTTAGCCTCTGGCCTCTTCCCTCGGCCCTCTTCCCTCGGCCCTCTAGCTATATAAGGGCCCCTCGGCCCTTCCTCTTTTCATTAGTTCATTTGGTGGTAGGAAAAACGGCGCTCGCGCCGGCGGCCTTCGGCCGCCGACGCTCGCAAGCGCGGCCTTCGGCCGCGCGTTAGGGACGGCAAGTTTAGCTACAAGCGTCCACGCAACACTATAACGAGTAATACAGGCGTGTAGACTTTGACCAGCAAATAGTGCAAAACATGCAGATCGTTTACGCACGTAGGGCAGTAGTTACTACATCTGGTCCGCCTCTAGGGCGGCAAGGATCCCCGTCAGGGTCCTCCACAGGGGGCGGAGCACCATTGTGCTTGCGCCGATCACTTCGACTCCGTTCCCAGCCCGCAGGTGCCCTCTCAGAGCCCGCAGGTGCCCTCTCAGAACCCGGACTGCTTCGTCCACCTGCCCGACCGCCGCGCCTCCCCGCACGGGCGCTACCAGCAAGGGCGCCACAAGCGCAGCAAGCTGCCCAGCTGCAGCCAGAGAATCAGCTCGCGATTCAGGACCAAGAGTGTTCTCTTGGGTCGCCAGAATGGACGCGTGGGCGCTCACCTGAATCAGTAGCAGGCCCCGAAGGCACTCCGCCAAGCGCCACAGCTGCCCAAGGGTCACCGTGGGCACTAGAATCTGCCGGGGAAAGGTCCCCTCGGCCAGACTACAACGAGGAGCGGGGTCAGCAGGAACAAAGTCGGCAATGCGGCGCGGGGGGACAAACGGCGCCCTCCCCGCTCCTCCTCCCGCCCCCACAAATTCCATACCGACGACGGGAGGAACCCACGGGAGCACGGGGTACGGATGCGCCGCCGTCCTCTCGAACGCGGGCGGAAACACGGGCGGCGCAGCAGGCTGAGGCGCGGGAGCCCGCTCTACAACAGACGCTTGGACAGCAGTGGCTGCAAGCGGCGGCTGCGAGCCAATCGGGTTCGACGATCCCATCTGCGCGAAGCGCATGGCGGCCGCAAACATCCACGGCAGATCGGCGCGCAGCTGCTGCACCTCCGTCGCGTTTCCTTGGCCGCGACCGTGACCTCCCCTCCAGCCGCCACGGCCGCCGCGATGTGCAGACCGGTACGAGGGTGAGGGGCGACGACGCGGAGAACCACGCCCCCGATGAGACGTCGCGTGGCCCCTCGCAGCAGCTTGATTTTCGGAGCCCGCTTGCTGGCCCAGTGGCACGGAGGGAGGCACCGCCTGATGGGCCGGCGCAGACCCAGGAGGCGCGAGGCGGGCGGGGTCAGAGCCAGCGCCCACCGCGGTCGCCTGCGCAGACCCCCCGACGGCAGCCTGGACGGGCGGCTGCGTCATCGGCGCCAGCGGGGGAGGTGGCGAACCGACCGGTACCCCAGCGGTTGGAAGGGGATCAGTTAGCGACAATCGGGCAGGGTCGCCGCACGCAGGCCGCACCACTCCGCCAACATCAGCAGAGAACGCGCCCGCAGGGGACGGGTCCGCAGCAGACGGAACAAGGAGCGGAGCGGGGGCCAGAACGCTCTCCGCGGTATTCCCCACCACGCCAGCCACAGCAGCAGGGAGCTCCACTCCAGATTGCGCAGCCTCAGCAGCCATTAGACACGACTGTGGGGATTGGGCGAACCCCTCTAACTCAGCGGCAAAGGGCTTTACTAAACGCACAGACGCCTCAGCAATCAGCGCGACCAGCAGGAGGCGCACGGGAGGTCAGGAGACGTAGCGCAGGGACGGCGGACGGCGGACCACTGAATGGTTTCCAAAGAGCTGCAAGTCGGGCTTTAAGTAGGCATGAAAGGGAAGTGGATAATGAGGACGATGACACTCGGGACGCGGATTATGTACAAGGAGAAGAAGTGGAGTCATCTACGGAGGGCAGTGGCGAGATGGAGGAGGAGACTCGAGTAGGAAGGGGTCGAAGGAGTGGGCCAACACAAAACCGAACCGCATCCCCAAACATCGCCACCACGGGGGGAATTTCGCATCAGGAACCTGGACGAAACGGGAACCCAGAACCTCCCCGCCAATTCTCACCTGAGCAGCTGGCAAGGGACCAATCCCGTTTCAGCGAAGTTGGAAATTGGGACCTGACACTGCTTCGCGACAGTCGCCAGCCCCCACTGTCACGAAAACGGGATACCCGCATCCAATTCGCCATGGCACTGCTAACGCCACTCCTGCACCTCGCGCGAAACCCTGAGTCAGTTGCAGGCTGGCGCCTGCTTCTCTTCCTACCACGACTGCTGCTCCGCCAGAACAACCCTAAGAAGCCCGATTGGCTAGCCGTGACAGCACGACTTCGCAAATTCTTCGAGGGCGAGTGGGGAGCCTTATTCGAAGCGGCCCTAGCAGCAGTCAGCTCCACCCCTCCCCCGCGCCACCAGCCTGACAACCTAGGCAGGCGCTCTCGAGCAGAGGGTTTAGCGCGGCGTGGAAGTCTGCGCAGAGCAGTGATGGCGCTGGAAGCGACACCAGTGGCGACAGCCTCACCTGAGGTACTCGGCGCACTGAAATCCAAACACCCACCTTCCTCTGACGGGCCCATAGACTGGACCACAAGCCCAACTGTTACACCCACCTCCATCGACTTGGCGGCCTTCACGAAGCTGCTATGCAGAACGGAAAACGGAGTAGGAGCCGGACCATCGGGAATGACTTTCGAACACCTCAGAGATGCAGCCGTCACTAATGCCGCAGTCAACACTCACCTTCACGCACTCGTCAACACAATTATGCGCGGATCACTCCCAGCTGAAGTCAACAACTTACTCACATCATCTAGACTGCTCGCCTTGGAGAAACCTGGGGGAGGAACCAGACCCATAGCTATTGGCGAGTGCCTCCTCCGCCTCGCCGCCAAATCTGCGTTATTTGCCATAGCCGACGCTGCCCGCTCCTTCTTCCTCCCGCTCCAGTTCGGGGTAGCAGTCCAGGGAGGTAGCGAGGCCATTATCCACGCGGCACGAGCATACATGAGCGCGAATCAAGATGCCCTCATCCTGCAAGCAGACTTAACGAATGCGTTCAACAGTATCAGCCGAGAAGCCATTGTCAGGGCCATACGAGGGACTGACCTGGAACAATTGCTGCCGCTGGTCCGCCTCTCCTACGGAGCGCCATCCAAGCTGTACCTGGGCGCTGAGTATGGATGTGAACCGCTGCTAAGCCAAGCAGGCGTCCGCCAAGGCGACCCCCTGGGCCCCCTGCTGTTTGCTGCCGGGGTACACCCCGCCCTCAAAACAACAGCAGCCGCATTCCCCACCGTCCTGTGCATGGCGTACGCGGACGATGTGACGTTTCTCGGGGCAGCGGCAGACTGCGCAGCCGCATTCAACCACTTCACGTTGCAGCTGGCGGCCGTGGGGCTGACTCATAACCCATCAAAGTGCTCGGCCTGGAGCCGGAGTCTGGAAGACGTGTCCATCCTACCAGCTGGGGTCCCATACAACGCGGAGGGACTCCGCATCCTGGGCAGCCACATTGGCCCAGAAGACGGTGCATCTACGTTCATACGAGAGCAGCTTGCCAAGATGGCCGCGCCACTGCCACAAATTGCTGAAATGAACCCGCAGCTGGCCAATTTGCTTCTGACGCGGTGCATCTCGCGTCGTGTGTCATACCTGGCCCGAACCACACCCCTCCACCTCCTCCCTGAAGCCGAATGGTCCCGCTGGGCCCACGCGCAACTCCTCACGCTCCTAGACGCATGCGGCATCCACCACCCGAGGGGGGCGGAAGAAGAACAGAGGGTGTGGGGACAGGCTTCTCTGCCACCATCCCTTGGGGGGATAGGCCTCACAGACCCCGCGGTGGAGGGCAAATACAGCTTCCTCGCTAGCTTTGTACAGGCGCAGAACCTGCTCGGCACCCTCCCAGGCCCCGCAAGCCTTCACCTGACCGGCACCTTAGCACGACCAGCTGTTGACAGACCAGACCAGCACCAGCTACAGCGCTGGCTCCTTGAATGTGAGGCCTCATTAGGTCGGGAGGCCATGGAGCTGCTGGCGGCAGAGCGGGTTAAGCCAACAGACAGGCTGCAGCACAGCCTGGCCTTGCTCATCCAAGGCAACCGCTACGCCGCACAAGTGGTGGCATCGAGGCAGATGGAGCTGAACCCGCTCAAGGGTCACACGCAGCGGCTACTGTCGCTCACAGGATATGGAGCGGGGGATTGGCTCCTCGCCATCCCCTACATGCCCTCCCTCCGCCTCGGCCCAGAGCTGTTTGCCTTCGCTCTGAATTCCGGCTAGGACTGCCCCTCCCCGTACCAGACCGCTGCGACTGCCGTGACAGGATCGCTATCCTGGATAAACGGCTACCCAACCATCTTCTTCGCTGCGGCACGGGACATGGACGGACGGACACACACAACGGAATCAGAGACGAATGCATACGTATGGCTCAAGATGCGGGGTTACAGTGCATGAGACAGTGGCTTTCTGCCCCGTGGATAAGCAAAAGGTGGATTTGGCGATACGAGACCGAACCTCAGGCGCAGTACACATCTGCGACGTCACGGTTACCGACCCAATAAGCAGCCGTGACAAGGACGCCACCAAGGGGCGGGGCTGGATGGCGCGGGAGATGGCTGACAAGAAAATTGATCACTACCGGACGCGCCTACTGTGGGTGGGGTTCTTCCCACTAGCGGTGGAGACCTATGGGTGCCCTTGCGAGGAGGTCCACACCTTCCTCAAGATGCTTGCTGACTCGGCTGCTAGGAACCTTTTTAACGCAGACCCTACCTCCTACCAGGCCGCAAAAATGCTGCACCAATACCGGCAGCGTTGGTCCGTCGCCCTGCAGAGGGGACAGGCGCTTAGCTATCTCAAGAAGTTGAACCTAGCGGCACGAGCGGAGAACCCGCCGGTTGGGGGGCCGGAGGGGGTGTTGAACCCAGGGGACTGCTTTGCAACCCTGGAGGGCTAGATAGGGCAGGGAATGGAACGGTCAGAATGGTTAGTCCCACGTGCAATAGCGTAGCTCATGCCTGCCTTGCAATTACCTGTACCCCAATAAATACATCAATGAAAGGACCGTTCGAGAGGAGTGAGAGGGGTGAGAGGGGTGAGAGGGGTGGGAGGGGTGAGAGGAGTGAGAGGGGTGAGAGGAGTGAGAGGGGTGAGAGGAGTGAGAGGGGTGAGAGGAGTGAGAGGGGTGAGAGGAGTGAGAGGGGTGGGAGGAGTGAGGGGTGAGCATACAGACCCAATGTGGCACATCAGACATTGGGTCACCCCACTCACTCCTCGCACAAGCACAGCGCCTACCTGCATGTCCAGGTCACAAAGATGGCCTTCAGCACTGACGCCTCATGCCCCTGCAGCGTGCGCAAGCAGCTGCCGTCTGCCAGCGCCCAGATGCGGCATGTGGCATCCCCCGATGCTGTGAGCAAACACACCCAATGCTATGTTGCGCCTGATGCCCTGGAAGGGCAGCGTCCAGCGTCTGGACGGTCACGTCCGGACGCTGGACGCGTCGAACAGGTTTGACGCTGGACGTTCGGGATTTTTTTTCGGGCAGCCCGAAAAAATTCCCCGCACGAAATTGACGTGCGATTTCATCGCGGACAGAATTGCGATGAAATCGCCAAGTATGGGTTGGGTTTTTTACCTACAGAAACGCAACCCTCATTTATTCCCCCCCACACATTTGTACCCATTCGAATCTACTTCTCCCAACTACGTCGACCTCCATCTAAACTAGGGATCCAGATCCAGGTCGACATTACACAGATCTGTTTCTCTCGACATTGCCTAGCATACCTAGGCCTAGAATCCGCCAGTCACGCTACTAAGCCTTCCTAGCTCAATTTAGGTTAAGGCGATAAAGTTATCATGTCAACTCCTAGTCCCGCCAGTCATTCTGGTGGTAGTGGCTCCACACCACCTTAGGAGATTTTCAGGATTTCCTGGATTTTCTGAAGTATTTATAACTTAAGGTGAAAAATGTGAACTTGTTGCATTCTAACCCCCGTGTAGCCTTACTAGGCAGGTTCTTTTTACCCCTGCCCGGGAAAAGTTTTGCCCTGCCCAGACTAGCGTCAAGCGGGCGTCCAGGGCAGAGGAACCCGGGCGTCAAGCGTCTGGACGCCCTGTCCAGACGCCAGCGTTAAAAACGCCTGATGCGTCAGGCGCAACATAGACCCAATGCAGCACAACAGCACAACAGCACAGCACCGGCAACCCAGGGACCTACCTGCGTGCCTCAGGTCACAAATATGGCCTTGAGAACTGAAGCCTCATGCCCCTGCAGTGTGCGCAGGCAGCTGCCGTCCGCCAGCTGGCCTCACCCGATGCCGTGAGCACACAGGCACAATGCAGCACACAGTCCGCCACAGCACAGCACAGACCACCCAGGGACCTACCTGCGTGCCTCGGGTCACGAATATGGCCTTGAGAACGCTCGCTTCGTGGCCCTGCAGTGTGCGCAAGCAGCTGCCGTCTGCCAGAGCCCAAATGCGGCACGTGGCATCCCCCGATGCCGTGAGCACACAGCGATCCACGGGGGAGAAGGCGACCGACCACACGCCCCTCTTGTGGCCTCGTAGTGTCACGGAGAGAGAGAGGTCCGGCAGGCGCCACACCTTGGCCGTGCGGTCCTGTTTGGGGAAGAATGGTAGGAGGAGGAGGAAGGGGAGCAGAACTAAGGGCGTTTGTTCCTCACTTTCAAGGGTCCAGGTGTGAGTTTGAGTGGGCTCAGAAGGCACGTGGCATCACCCGATGCCGTGAGCACACAGCGATCCACGAGGGAGAAGGCGACAGACAGACCACACACCATGCTTGTGGCCTCTTAGTGTGACCGAGAGGGAGGGGACTGGCAGGCGCCACACCTTGGCCGTGCGGTCCTGTGGGGGGCGGGGAGGAGTAGCGGAGGAGAGATGGAAGCAGGAATAAGGGTGTTGGTTCCTGGCTGTCAAGGGCTGGCTGGCTGTGAGCTCTTGGGTTGACTGAGAAAAAGGCACGTGGCGGTGTCACGGCCAAGGTGTGGCCGTGAGCACACAGTGATGATCCACCAGGGAGAAGGCGACAGACCACTCTCCCTCCCCTCACAGGCAAGGTTTGGCGCGTACCTGATTTGTCCCTCTTGTGGCCTCTTAGAGTCAGAACGAGGGACAAATCAGGCAGGCACCACACCTTGGCCGTGCGGTCCTGTGGGGGTGTGGAAGAAGGGAAAGGAGAGTCGGAAGCAGGAAGAAAGAAGGGTGGTTTCTTCCTGACTGTCAAGAGCCGAGGTGACTTGTGAGTGGAGTGGAGAGAGAAGGCAGCTGCCATCCACCAGCGCCCAGATGCGGCAGGTGGCATTGCCCGATGCCACGAGTAGACCCAACTGAACGACCAAAAAAAAAAAAAAAAAAAAAAACCTGAGGCTGACCTGCAAATCACCTGAGAATCTCCTGAGAATACCTGAGACTCACCTGAGACCCACCTGTGAGCACACAAGAGCATAGGTGGGCGCCACAGCCACGGCGTTGATGTGTTTGTCGTGTAGCACCTGACTTGCCTTGCTTCTAAATGACTTGCCTAAGTGACTCAGATACACTTGGGAACCGGCGCAGACGAGTGCATCATTGGGTTGGGAGCCACAGCGTTGATGTCCGTGGTGTGTGTGTGCTGCCACTGTAGCACTGAGACCTGACTTGACTTGACTTACTTTTGAGAAAATTTGTCTTAGGGACTCAGAATTACCTGGGAGCCCGAGCAGACGAGGGCGTCGTTGGGCGCCACAGCCACAGCGTTGATGTCCTTGTCGTGTGCTGCCACGGTGGCACCTGACTTGAGACGAAGCACGCCGCCCCTCCCGCGAGGCAGCGCTGCTGCTGAGGAGGAGAGGAGAAGCGCGAGTGGCCAGACTTTGAGCGTGCGATCGCTGAGGGGGAGAGGGGGAAGGGGCAAAGGGGAAAGGTTAAGCTTGAGGCGGGTCACGAGTTGAAGTGCTGCTGCTGAGGAGGAGAGGAGGAGCGCGAGTGGCCAGACTTTAAGCGTGCGATCGCTAGGGAAGAGAGAAAGAAGGGGGGGGGGAGGGAGAGACGGGGAAGGTGTAAGAGAGCGATGACAGGTTACAGACTTGAGATAGGCAGTGGTGGTGCTGAGGAGGCAAGGAGGAGCGCGAGTGGCCAGACTTTGAGCGTGCGATCATTGGGAGGAGGGAGAGGGGGAAGGGAACGAGGGGAAGCAGTTTTGACGCATGTAATATTCACCGTACACACACACTCTCACACACTCACACACGCGCACACATGCTCGCACACACTCACACATGCGCACACATGCTCACACACGTTACACGGCTTAGCTCACACATATATATACATGCCTTGAACCAGATACCAAGAAAGGCCCTGCTCCTCCCCCTTTCCCTCCTCCGCCTCCTGCTGGCTGATCTGGCGGCGGCCTCTGAGAGAACGCCACGGCAGCAACAGCTGCCACGTGTCCTGATCCCATTGCTAGACAGGCGCCGGTGGTGACGTCCCACACTCGCACCTGATTGGCCAGGAATGGGCGGCATGGGATGGGTGGGGTGGGCAGGAATGGGTGGGAAGGGATGAATGGGATGAAGAAAACAGGTGGCTGGAAGGCCAACTAGGAGAAGGGAGGATAGATGGGACGGCATGTGGCATGTGACCTTACCTTTCTGAGTCGACTAAAAAATTAGTCGATTTTTTAGTCGACTCGAAAATCCACTCATTCGACCTTACCTTTTTGAGTCGACTAAAAAAAAAAAACTCATCACATGTGGCATGGCATGTGACCTTACCTTTCTACTTGTATAATGGCATGAATGCGCTGCAAGTGTATTCGGAGGACAAGATGGGGGAATGAGGCAGGGCAAGGAAAGGATGAGAGGAGGGGAGTGGAGTGGGGGACGGGCGAGGGGTCGAGCGAGGTGCTTACAGAGTGATCTTTAGCAGACGAGGCGAGCAGAGAAACCGGAATAAAATAAGAAGAACCGCTGCTGCTACCATCGCCACCAGCACTAGCAGCACCAGCAGCAGCGCCATCAGCGGCAGCAACAGCAGGAGGGCCAAGAAGGGCACGAGGCACGGAGCAGGGGTGGGGGTACGCATCGATGCAGAGCACGATGTCCGAGTGGCCAATCAGGGAGCGGCGACAGCTGGCGGTCGCCACGTCGTACACGCGCACTTGCTCGCTGTTGGTCGCGACCGCCAGCTGGAGATTCCTCTCCACCCCTCTCAACGCCTTCCTTATCCCCTCCGCTCCTTCCTCTCCCTCCCCTCCCTCTTCTCCCTCTCCTCCCTTCCCTAGCCTCTCAGCCCTTTCCTCCTCTTCATCTCCCTCCCTCCCTGCATCGAGAAAAGAAGCAGAGGGGTCAAGGACGAATCGCACGTCCACGATCTCATCGTTCTGCCCAATCAGCTGCTGACACATGGCAAGAAACTGCTGCTGCTGCTGCTGCTTCGTGACAGTCACATTGACAGGCTGGTATATTAGCAGCCGTTGATCTGCAGTGGTACACAGTAACCTGCATCCTCCCTTTCCTCCTCCTCCCCCCTCTTCTCCTCTTCCTCCATCCAAGCCCAGAAACTGTGCCGACAAAAACCCGCCGCCAGCTGGCGCCTCCTCATTGGCCTCCGCGCCCGTTTTCTGCTGCCCGGAAGCCACCTCAGCTGCCCGCTGCTCCAGGACCGCCGTTGACTTGTCTGACCGCCACAACCGCATCACACCCCTCTCCCCCACACTCACAAACCACACCACCTCTTTCTCCCCCATCTCCTCCCTACTCTTCTTCCCCTTCTCTCCTTTCCTCCCCTTCTCCCCCTTCTCTCCTTTCTCCCCCTTCTCCCCCTTCTCCCCCTTCTCCCCTTTTCCCCCACCTGCTTCCCTCCCAGCAGCGGCAGAAGCACAGGTGGGGGGGATGACAGGAAAGGATGGGGCTATAGGCGGTGTGACTATAGCGAGGCCTTCGAGGGACTCAAAAACGGGGATGGTGGTGACGTGGGCATAGGTGCGAATATCCCAAATGTTTACCACCTAAGACAGGAGAGGTTGGGGGGGGCAGGGGGAGGAGGAGGAAAGCGGTTAGGGGAGGTGAACAGACAGCGGAAGTGGGGAGGCGGAGGTGAGTTGAAGCGTAGAGGGGGAGAAATGCTTGCTGCTCCCACTGTCAGTTTCGTAAAGAGTTGTGGCTGCGACGTATAGAGAAGAGAACCTAGCGGGACCTAGAAGGACATCGAGGGATCTGAAGGGACATACATGGACGGTTTTGAGAATTCTCCACAGGGAGCAAAGGGGCTCCCCTTGCCACGTGACGCGGTGAGCAGCAGAACTGTTTTTTTGAGAATTCTCACCTTTTTAGGATTCTCTGTTTCCTTTTTTATTCTCTGCTTTTTTTAGAATTCATTGTTTTCTTAGTTTTTCTTTTATTCTCTATTCTCTTACAATTCTCTGTTTTTTTTTAGAATTCTAAAAAAAAAACAGAAAGGAGCAAAGGGGTTCACCTTGTCACGTGACGCGGTGAGCAGCAGCCAGCCGGACGGTGAAGAGGCAATGGCGGTGACTGAGGAGAAGTGCTTGCCCAAAGAAATGAGGCTAGGGAGGGGTGGGGGAGTATTGCCTTACCCACCTTGTCACGGGAAGCAGTGAGCAGCAGCCAGGCAGAGGGCGAGAAAGCGATAGAGGTGACCGTGGAGAAGTGCTTGTCCAGAGAGGCTGCTGGGCGGACGGAGAGGGACCTACAAGGAACTAGTAGGGAGGACCTGCCTAGAGGGAGGGACTCACCTTGTCACGGGAAGCAGTGAGCAGCAGCCATCCCGAAGGCGAGAAGGCGATGGCCGTGACCGTGGAGAAGTGCTTGTCCAGAGAGGCTGCTGGGCGGACGGAGAGGGACCTACAGGACACCTACAGGGGTCTGGAGGAACCTATAAAGACCCAGAGAGACCCACCTTGTCACGTGACGCAGTGAGCACCAGCCAGCCCGAGGGCGAGAAGGTGACGGCAGTGACGGTGGAGAGGTGCTTGTCTAGAGAGGCTGCTGGGCGGACAGAACGACTTACAGGGACGTAGAAAGATGCAGCGAAACTCACTTACCTTATCACGTGATGCAGTGAGCAGCAGCCAGCCAGAGGGCGAGAAAGCGATAGAGGTGACGGTTGAGAAGTGCTTGTCTAGAGAGGCTGCTGGGCGCTTGGTCACCAGATCCCACACCTGCACTAATCCGCTCTCTGATGCTCCCACCAGCTGATGGGAGAGGGGGAAATGGTGTGTGGGGGGGGGGATTGGATTGGATGGCAGGGGAACAACAAAGAGAGGCTGCTGGGCGCTTGGTCACCAGGTCCCACACCCGCACCGACCCGCTTTCAGATGCACCCACCAGCTGTTGGGGAGTGAGAGAAGTGGGGGAGGGAGGAGAGTATGGGGAAAGAGGGGATGGGGTGTGAAATGACAAAAAGTGGCTTTTTTTGAGGCGCCTCGAAAGATTATTTAGACGATTTTTGAGGCGCCTCAAAAGCGGGGGAGGGAGGAGGGTATGGGGGAAGAGGGGATGGGGTGTGAAATGACAAAGAGTGGCTGCTGGGTGCTTGGTGACCAGGTCCCATACCCGCACCAACCCGCTCTGTGACACGCCCACCAGCTGATGGGGAGTGAGAGAGAAGGGTGGATGTTGAGAGGGCGGAGAATGGATTATGGGGAACACGAAGAGGCTGCTGGGCGCTTGGTCACCAGATCCCACACGCGCACTAATCCGCTCTCTGACGCGCCCACCAGCTGATGGGGGGAAATGGGGGAATAGAGAGTTGGGAGTGGCAGGGGGAAAAGGGGGAAAACAACAAGGCGTGACATTGCCCTTGGTCACCAGATCCCACACCCGCACTAATCCGCTCTCTCTCATGCTCCCACCAGCTGTTGGGGGAGGAAGTGTGTGCGTGGGGGGAGGGGAGGGCGGGGGTGGGGAGCTGGTGGGGGAATGGCGGAGGGCAAGTGGCGCCATTGCGCTTGGTGACCAACCAGATCCCATACCCATACTAGCCCGCTCCCTGATAGCTGTGCTACCTGTACTGGGTGTGGTGTGGAAGGGGTGGGGAGCTGGTGGGGGAATGGCGTACGGCAAGTGGCGCCATTGCGCTTGGTCACCAGATCCCATACCCATACTAGCCCACTCCCTAATGCGCCCACCCACCAGCGAGTGCATCCGCTCCGCTCACCAGGAGGTGATTCGGGTCGGGGTGAAAAGCCACGCAAGAGAGCACTCCCCCCATGCCAGTGAACGAGTGCGTGCATGCGTTGGCCTCCAGGTCCCACACTCGCACGCCCCTGTCCGCCCCGCCTGTCGCCAGCAGCCCGCCACTAGCGTCCACTGCCATGCACGACACGGGTGCGGGGTGCGCCTGGGGGGGAAGGAGGAAGCAAGGGTAGGAGGGGAGAAGGGGATAAGCCTCTCCAGGGGTGGCCTGGTCCCACACTCGCACGCCCTTGTCCGCCCTATTTGTCGCCATTAGCCCCCGACTCGCATCCACTGCCATACATTGCATTGGCGTGGGGTGTGCCTGGGTTGGGGGGGGTGGAGAGCAGCGGGGAGCAGGGAGGGAAGGCTTTAAACTGAAAGACCAGCCTGGTGTGCAAGCCCTCCCCTGCTGATTCCTGTGGGATGAGTCTACTTTTGAGTCGACTCAAACATAGTCTCATCACACGCAGAAAGATCAGCCTGGTGTGCCAGCCTGGTGTGCAAGCCGCTTTTGAGAATTCTCAAAAGCGACGCAGAAAGATCAGCCTGGTGTGCTGAGACTATGTGCAAGCCCTCCCCTGCTGATTCCTGTCCGACCCCCCAACCCCCCTGTCGCCAGCAGCCACCCACTCGCGTCCAGGGGATAAGGGGGAAAGGAAGGGGGGTAGGGGAGGGCAGGGCATGCGAGAAAAGGGTTTAGGGCTTTAGCGTGGGCGGGGATGGAACAACAGCCAGCGTGGCATGACGCATGCAATTCCCCGTGCGCCACCTCTCCCGTTCCTACCTCCGCCAACCCCCCATCCCCCTCCACCATCTGCCCTCTCCCCCCTCTTCCCCTCGCCCTCTCTTCCCCCCCTGCCCCCGTCTCAAATTCCCCAACCGTTTGCAATCCACTGTGCGCCGCGTTTCCACCTCCTCCTGCTCCTTCCGACCTCCCCCTTTCCCCCTCCGCAACCTCCCCCTCCGCAACCTCCCCCTCCCCCCCCCCCCCCCTCATCTTCCACGACCGCTTGCACTCGCCTGTGCGAAGCCTCTCCCCCTCCCCGTTCCACTCCCCCGTGCGCCGCCTCTCGCCCTTCCGCATTTTCCCTCCTTCCTTCACCCCTGCGCCTTCCCCGTTCCGCCATCCTTCCCTCTAAACCTCCCCCCTCGCCTCACCTTCCACGACCGCTTGCACTCCCCCGTGCGCCAGTTCCCACCAGCGCGTCTGCAGGCTGCGCTGCCTCTCCGCCATCCTCAATCCTCCGTACCCCGTTGCCCCGCATCCCCCATAACCCATGCGCCATTCCGCCTTCCCTCCCCCGCCTCACCTTCCACAACCGCTTGCACTCCCTCGTGCGCCGCCTCTCCCCGTTCCCCCTCCCCTTTTCGCCTTTCCCCTTCTCCCTTCACCCCTCCACCTTCCCCTCCCTCTTCCCGCCCTCTTTTCCCCCAACATCCCCCGTCCCCTCCCCACACCTTCCACGACCGCTTGTACTCCTCCGTGCGCCAGTTCCACCAGCGCGTCTGCAGGCTGCAGCACTGCCTCTCCCCCATTTCCCATCCCCCATTCCGCCATCCGCCATTCCGCCTCCCCCCTTCCCCCCCCCCCCCTCCTCCCCCTTACCTTCCACGACCGCTTGCACTCCCCCGTGCGCCAGTTCCACCAGCGCGTCTGCAGGCTGCGCGAGCTGGCCAATACGGACACGCCATCTGGACTCGCGGCGACGGCTGTGATTGGCTCTCCGTCGCCCTCCAACGTCCGTACGACCTTGCCCGTGGTGAGATCGACGATCTTTACCGCGTCGGCGCAAGGGCATGCCACGTGGCGCCCATCCGGAAAGACTGCCACGTGGCCGCCTGTGTAGAAAACCTCGAGGCTTAGCAAGGGCTTGTATGTTTTTTTCGGGACGAGGCGCGTCAGCTGCTGATGCTTCTGGGATTGGCCACCTGCGGATTGCGATGTGGAGTGGTGTGATGACGTGGCGCCCTCTAATCGGGGCGCCATGGCGGACGACTGCTCGAATTAAGAGGTCGCCTGCAATCACGGCAAGAACGGACAATAAAACGGCGAGAACGCGCAACGGTTGACGAACCGACGGCTCGAGATTGTTGCGTCCCACAATGCGATTACTAGTGTCAGAAACACAAACTGGTTCGGCTAGCGTTTAGCCTAAACCCGATCTCCCCAGAACCCTGAAATTTCAGGCTTTGCAAGGGGAAATTCGCAAGTTGCCTGTAACTCGCAAATTTGGTTTCGCACAGACCCGTGTGGAGGCGGCCTGTCATCCTCGATACAGTCTGTTTGGAAGTTCTGAGAGAGCTTACTCGCGTTGTGGTTGGCAGAATTTGACAATTTTAAAGCGGCGGTATACATTTGGCAGAACTGTTTGAGTGTGTACAGTGCACAGACCTTTTTCGCCTGAACGAATAAAAAACAGAGTGGCGAATGTGTTCGCGAAAGTCCGACTCGAAGGGTCTGTGAGAGAAGCAGGGGTGGGGAAGTTGAGAGCACAAAACCCAACGGTATCACTTTTGCTCTCGCAACACAACGCTTCCTCTCACTTCAAAGAATAATCGCTCACCAATGGATAGTTAGAACAAGCCGACAGTTGACCTAGAAAGTTCGAGGCCACCAGCGCGCGACAGAATTGCACCATCAGCAGAGCATAGCAGCGCGACACGTGCAGGCATAGGCGGGCGCCAGCACATCGAGCGCCAGGTACGCTCGCGCGGAAGCAAAGGGCGTCTAATTGCAGGCACGCCCGCGCCAGGGAAACGTTCGCCAGATGCGTGCGCCCCGCCAGCCTGCCTACTGCATCTATGCTGTCGTTTCGCCAGCGTCACTTCCGACGCATATTTAGGCATTCCGCGCGCTCCAGCACAGCGCGCGGATACCAATCATCGTGCAATAAATGCGCCTATAAAACGCCCGCTGCAACGCGAAGCGCGGCTGCATAGCGAGCGCGTGTGACGCTTGCGGTGCAGCAAACATCACGCTGTCCCATGCGCGCGCGCGGATGCGAAGTGCCATTCAGAACCGCGCGTCTCGCTAGCCAGCTTACTGCAGCCGCCAGCAACGCTAGCAGCCGCCAGCGCGCTTCTGAGCTTTCCGCCGCCCACATCCGCCAACATCCGCGTTCCCCCGTCCGCATTTCCCCGTCCGCATTCCCTCCGCGCGCACTCGCTCCCAAGCGCGCATTCGCTCCGCGCGTACTCGCTCCTGCACCGCGCATTCGCTCCCCCCGCGCGCACTCGCTCCCCCCGCACGCACTCGCTCCCCCCGCACGCACTCGCTCCCCCAGCGTGCATTCGCTGCCCCCGCGTGCACTCGATCCCCCCGCGCTCACTCGCTCCCTTCGCTCGAACTCGCTCCCCCACCGCGCGCTCGCTCCCCCCGCGCGCACTCGCTCCATTTGCTCCCCCCGCGCGCACTCGCTCCATTCGCTCCCCCCGCGCTCACTCGCTCCCCCTGCGCGCATTCACTAGCCCCGCATGCACTCCCTTTTCCGCCGGCATGCACGCACCCCCCTGCATCCCCTCCTTTCCCTCCCTGTTTCCCCTCCTTTCCCTCCCTGTTTACCCTCCTTTCCCTCCCTGCATCCCCTCCTTTCTCCCCCTGCACTGCATCTCCTCCTTTCCCCCCCTGAATCCCCTCCTTTTCCTCCCCGTTTCCCCCCCTTACCTTCATTCCCCCACTCTGCTTGCCCCTTTTCCTCTCCATCCCCTCTCGTTCCTTCACTTTCCTCCCACGTCCAATCTCCTCCCTTCCCTCTCTTTCCCCGTCAAATCTCCTCCCTGCCATCTTCTCTCTCGTCCAATCTTCTTCTAGCCCCTTGTTTTCCCCCTTGCTAGCCCCCTGTTCCCTACCCCGACCAATCTCCTCCCTTGCCCCTACTCCCTCGTCCGCACTTCCCCTCTTCCTCTCTGTCCCGCCTTTCCTCCCTGCTTCCCATCATTTTTTCGTTTTTCCTTCCCCTCTTTTTCCACCATCCTTCCCCTAATTTTCCCCCCGTCTCTTCATTAGGGTCCCCCCTTGCTTACCATTTCGTTACCCCCGTGCTAGCCTTCCTCCCCCATGCTCACTCTTCCTTCCCCTCCAGCTTCACTCTGTTTCTCCCATCCTTTCTGGTTTTTTTCCCCCCTGGTACCCTATCGTCAACCGTCAAACCCCCTCTCCCACCATTAGCCCACAACTGTTAGAATCTAGCAGCAGGAATGAGTGAACTAACAGGATGCAGGAGTACAAGTAGTAAACCCTAACTAGGTTGTACCCCATATGGGCTACCCCACTACAGCCTAGACAATATGCAGCACATATAGTTTTGTCAGAAATAACTGAGCAGGAATGAATGAACTAGAACAGAGTTTGGTACAAGTAGTAAACCCTAACTTTGTGTACCCCCTAAGGTGTAACCCACTACAGCCTAGACAATATAAACATGCAATGTTTGACACACCCCCATAGGCGCAGTGGGAGACAACCACAGGGTCACAAGACCAGTCAAAGCAAAGTAAAGCAAGCTCAGGGTGGATCTCAAGGATTCCACACAAATTCCGAGCACAAGCAAGTGGTCTCAAGACCAGTTCACATGCAGGTTTATAACAAAGCAAGAGATACAGTGATCACAACCTAGCAAAAGTAAACAAGTAGGCATATATATATAGTGATCACAGTACAAGCAAGGTCAAGAGGTAAGCAAGTGAGGCCCAGTAGGTACAAGGCCTAGTAGAGTGCAAAAGCGCTGATGGTCACAAGGCTGAAGCGCCTTGGTGAACACATCAGCAGTGTTGGCCTCCGTGGCCACGTAACGCAGACAAAGCTGACCACGCTGCTGCAGCTCTCGAGCAAGGAAGTACCGCAGAGCGATGTGCTTCGTTCCGTGCTCCAGTCTGTGCTCCTCACACAAGGCAATGGCAGCCTTGTTGTCGACGTACAGCACTGGAGGAGAACGAGGCCGCTCTCCGAGGTCGGTCAGCAGGTAGGTCAGCCAGCGTAGTTCCTGAGCAGCCATGGCTGTGGCGTAGATCTCAGCCTCACAACTGGAGCTGAGAACAGAAGAAGAGCGAGTAGAACGCCAAGAAACTGAGCCAGAGCCAAGGCTGAAGGTGTAACCCTGGGACGACCGCTGAGTAGCCTGGTCGTCTGCCCAAGAAGCGTCTGAGTGCCCTGTGAGAACAACCCGGTCTCGCCCTCCAAGCACAAGCCCCATGCCCGACGTACTGCACAAGTAGCGCAACACCCTCTTAGCAGCATCCATGTGCTCCTTCCGGTGACGGCCAGGAGCGACATAGCGTGCTAGGATGCTAAGAGGGTATGCAAGGTCAGGTCGAGTGCAGGTCATCAGGTACATGAGGCAGCCCACAAGCTCTGGATACGGGCCACTCGGCTCTACGGACTCATCCGAAGGCAGAGCTGAGAGCGAGTGACCGGTAGGCAGAGGAGTGGACTGAGGCGAGGAGTACGTGAAGCGGAAGCGCTGGAGAACCTGCTGCACCATGTGTGACTGAGTCAGGGTGATGGTGCGCCGTGCTCTGTCCCGGGTGATCCGCAAGCCAAGATAGCTCGTCAGCTCACCCAGGTCTGTGCACGTGTGTCTCCTCTGCAACTCCGACTTCACGTGAGCGAGTGCCGCGGTGTCAGCAGTGGCAAAGACCAAGTCGTCGACGTACACGAGGATGTAGAACGGCGGCAGCGAGGTGTCGGTGCGTAGAAACAGCGACGGGTCAGCAGTAGAGGGAGCGAACCCAAGAGCCGCAAGTGTCGTCCTCAGTGTGTCGTGCCACTCACGTGGCGCCTGGCGGAGACCGTAGACCGGCCGCTGAAGCCTCCACTGGGTGCCAGGAGGAAATGACCCAGTGAAGCCAGGGGGGCGGCGCAGCCAGATCTCCTCGTGCAGGCTGCCCTGCAAGAAAGCAGTGCTGAAGTCAAGAGAGTGAAGCTCGTAGTCGCGGTGAGCGGCTATGTGCAGCAGCACCCGAAGAGTAGTCATCTTCGGGGTGGGGGAGAAGGTCTGAAAGAAGTCTACTCCCTCTCGCTGACTGAAGCCTCGAGCCACGTAGCGCGCCTTGAAGACAGGTGGAGAACCCGGCGGCCGCTTCACCCTGAAAATCCACATGCCACTGACGATGTTCGCCCCAGGAGGGGGAACCTCGTCTACGTAGGTGCCTGTGGACTTCCAGGAGGCCATCTCTGCGTCCATGGCTGTCTGCCACTGAGAGGAGTAGGGACCCGCCATCGCCTCAGCATAAGAGCGTGGGGTCGGGATGTCTGGTGCATCCGGGTCTCCCTCAGGGGCAACTAGCAAGGACACGAGACGGGGCAAAGCAGCAGCAAGGCAGTGGAACTCCTCCTGTCTGTCCTCAAGGACGTCCGTGCCGAGGGCACACTCACCCCCGACGGACGGAGGACAGGCAGACGCAGACTCAGACCTAGCGACAAGGCTGGCAGCGTAGTCTAGGCGACAGCAAGCAGCAAAGTCAACCAACTCAGTGACCAGAGCAGACGCAGCAGAGGACTCAAAGGTCGGGTCAGTGACAACTGTAGCGAGGAGACGCGTAACAGTGGGACTGGCAGCACGACGGGAGTCAGACTCCGGGTCAGGAAGAGTAGGAAGAGAGGACGCAGGAGGAGACGGCAGCGGGACACGCTGCGGAGCAGTGGAGGGACGCAGAGTCATGTAGTGAGTGCCAGGGACAGGAGGAGGACGCTCACGTGGGACACGACGACCAGTGCGAGCAGTACGAACAGGCGACGCAGGACGAGACTCAGGCTCACGACGCTCTGTAAGACCTCCTGTGGGACCAGCGTAAGGGGAGGGAGCAGGGAGAGGCGAGGCAGGCGGTAACTGTGACTGCGGCTGGACAGGCAGAGGACACTCGACGGAGGGAGGAGGACTAGGAGGAGGAGCCTGACCAAGAACCTGCTGAAGGAGCGGTACGAAGTACGGTCGCGGCCGCGCAGCGTCTCCAGAAGCAGCAGGGACACCAGTGGCAGCCCCAACGCCCGAGTCCTCAGCACCAGCAGCAGCTCCAACGCCCGGGTCCTCAGCACCAGTAGGAGCTCCAACGCCCGAGTCCTCAGCACCAGCAGCAGCGCCACCGGTCGGGTCCTCAGCACCAGCAGCAGCTCCAACGCCCGGGTCCTCAGCACCAGCAGCAGGGCCACTGGTCAGGTCCTCAGCACCAGCAGCAGCGCCACCGGTCGGGTCCTCAGCACCAGCAGCAGCTCCAGCCCCCGGGTCCTCAGCACCAGCAGCAGCTCCAGCGTCCGGGTCCTCAGCACCAGCAACAGCACCACCGCTCGGGTCCGCAGCACCAGGAGCACCACTACGAAGACTGCAGCGCCGCGTGTACCACTCGCGGATCACCTGAATGGGGGGGAGCTCCTGGGTAGGAGGGGAAGTACCGGGACGAGCTCCAGAAGCACCTCTCCGGAGGCGGCAGTACTCGAGGTACCTCTCCTGCAGCTGCTGGGAGGAGAGGGCTCCTCCAGGTGGAGCACGCTCAGGCTCAGCACCCCCAGACTCAGCACCCCCAGACTCAGCACCCCCAGTCTCAGCACGTCCAGACTCAGCACCCCCAGGCTCAGTACCTCCAGGCTCCGCACCTCCAGGCTCCGCACCTCCAGGCTCAGCACCCCCAGGCTCCGCACCTCCAGGCTCAGCACCCCCAGGCTCCGCACCCTCAGACGCAGCACTCCCAGGCTCAGCACCCCCAGACGCAGGACGCGAGTCAACAGCTACCTCGACAGGCTCACCCGGGTCTACCTGGGACACACCTGAGGGAGCGGCACCCTGAGGGGGGAGGGGGTCTGGTACCTCAGCACCTGGAGCGAGGAAGAGAGGTGGGGGGGGGAGCGGGGCAGTGCGGTAGGGGAAGAGGCGGTAGAAGGGGACGGACTCGTCAAAAGTGACGTCCTGAGAGGCCAGAACCCGGCGCGAGGTGACGTGGTAAAACTGCCATCCAGGCGCGTCGGGAACAAAGCCAAGAAAGACACAGGGAACAGCGCGACGCGAGAGCTTGTCCGCGGACGTGTCGCGGACAAAAGCTCGAGATCCCCAGACCCGGAAACGCGACGCATCGCCAACCTCTCCCGTCCACCGTAGAGTCGGGGAAGTCTCCGGCAAGGAGACACGGGGCCAGAGGTTGAGCTGATGCGCTGCGTACCGGACCGCAAACGGCCACAGAAAGTGGGGAGCAGCCGCATGGGTCAGGGAGGTACGAGCGACCTCCATGACTAAGCCAATGCGGCGCTCAGCAACCCCATTCTGCTGTGGAGAGGCCGGAAGCGTGTACGACTGCTCAATGCCGTGCTCAGCACAGTAGGCTGCCAAGAGGTCGGAGGCGAACTCACCACCCCTGTCAGAGTGCAAGCGCAGGACAGGAAAGTCCGAGTGAAAGCGCTCGCCTAGCTGGAGACGGGCTCGGCTGATCCAGGGGATCAAAACACCAGGGACGTCACCCTTGGCGCGCAAGGGGAAGACCGTGGTGTAGCGCGAGTAGTCGTCAACAACTATCAGGAAGTACCTCTCCTGACCCTGACCACGGACGCGGGCTGGGCCCCACACGTCCATGTGGAGCGTCTGCAGGGGAGCGGTCGTCGGGGGAAAGGAGGAGGAGTGAGGAGCGGCGCGCTGCCGCCCCTCGACACAGGGAATGCAGTCAGGAGCAGGGGAGTCAGGAAGGGGAGGGAGCACCCTGGGAAGACCAGCAACAAGGTCCCGTTTGTGCATGGCCCGCAGGCGCTGCACAGACGGGTGACCAAGGCGGTGGTGCCAGAGGACGGTGTCGTTCGCCAGAGAGCGACACGAGCAGGGGGCGGACAGCTGACCTGACGCTGACGCAGACGCAGCTACCTGAGGGGACTCAGTGGTCAGTGTGTACAGGTCAGACCCCGGCTCTCGAGTGAAAGTAGCCAGGTGGCGGCCCGTCCGAGCACACGTGCAGTGAGTCACACGCTCGTAGGCAGGGGTGAACTGGTGAACACCCGAGTCCTGGAGCGCACTACCTGCCACCAAGTTCGTGGAGAACGAGGGGAGGTAGAGACCTGAGAGCTTGCCGGACGGAACCGCTGGACACGGAAGGGTGGTGGAGGAGGTCGCAAGGACCGGACCCCCAGAGGGGTCAGCAAGAGAGACAGCAACCGGCCGAGCTAGAGGCTCAAGGACAGTGCGGTCACGAAAGAAAGAGCGAGAAGCACCTGAGTCAAGTGTGAAGGTGTGCAGTGCTGCAGTCGACTCAGTACCAGGGGGCACAGACGCACAAGCACCTAGAGCAGCAGCGGGGCTGGCCTGAATGCCCGGGTCGGGCGGAACACGCAAGTACTGAGCACCCTCTCCACTAATAGACATCGCATACATGGCAGTGAGAATAGCATCAAAGTCAAGTGCCCAAATATCAACACCCTTCCTGAGCAGATCAGCCCAGCGCGGCAGTTCACCCCCACCAGGAAACTGAGTGCGCCACGCATCGTTGAGGCGGGCGAAGCAGCGCTCCGTCTGGTGCGGCCCCCCACACGTCTGGCCAGTGCGGTCACCTGTACGAATAACGTACTGGCAGGTGACGCTGCGCCGCGCATACCACTCACGGGCGGCCTGAAGGGTCGGGGCAGGCTGCTGACTCTGACCGCCCCCCGGGCCTCCACGACCACCACCCCCTCCGCCTCCGCCCCGGCCACCTCCACCCCTGCCGCTGCCACGACCACCTCCGCCTCCGCTGCCACCTCCGCCCCTGTCACCACTCCCAACACCGCTGTCACCTCCACCACCGCCGCCACTAGCCTCTCCAGTCGCACCTCCACCGCCACCACCTCCACCCCCGCCTCCTCCGCCACCACCCCCACTCCTGCCACTCCTGCCCCTGCGTCGTCCGCCTGAAGCAGACGCAGCCCCGACCTTCTCAGCACCAAGGAGGTCGACAGCAGCAGCAGAGGCGACAGAGGGGAGGAGGGGGGAAGGGGAGCACCCCTCGAAGAAGGGGCCGCGGGGGTCGCCACGAGAGGTGCCTACAGCGACGATACTAGCCTCGGCTGCAAGCAGTTCCTTCTCGAGGAGGGCTATGGTGAGCTCAGTGGGGGAGCGAGAGAGGAACTGGTCCCTGACAGGGCGCAGAGAGTCAGGGAGGCGGGTGACAACGTGGTAGAGAGTGATCCAGAGCGGGGGGGGGTTGCTAGCGAGGAACTCATCAGGCATGGCAGCGCGAAAGCGAGCCTCACTAGTCTTAAGGTGGGTGATGAGGTCTGCGACAGTGTGAAAAGAGGCTAGGTCGGGGAACAGGTAGGGGAGAGTGAGGCGGCCTAGTGTGGCAGAAGCGGGTGAGGAGTAGCGGGCCACTACAGCTGTGTAGAGGTCCTTAGCAGTCTTGCACTGGCCGAAGTGCTCGCGCTCATCTAGCGGCAGGGAGTTGCGAATAGCAAAGCGAGCGTGCGCGTCACGGGTCTGCCACTGTGAGCGCTCAGCTGGGGGGGCAGTAGCGAGTGGGGCGGTCGCATGGCCAAGAGCGTGGTCGTACAGTGTAATATCTTCCTTGGCAGTGAGCTGTAGGAAAAGGTGCAGGTCATCTAGCCAGGTTTCGAATTTGACCGGACGGCCCTCGGCGTCGAAAGCTAGAACAGGAGGACTAGCCATAGCGACAGCGGCAGTAGTAGAAGCAGTAAAGTCACTGAACAGGCGTGCGCAGGGTCAGCAGGGCCGGTGGGGCCTACGGACTGTAGTGGCGCACAAGCAGCAGTAGCAGGAAGTGTAGTAGTAGGATCTGCAGTGGTGCACAGGCGCAGCAGGCGGCAGCGAGAGCCGGCGCAGCAGGGGCGGGCTCAGCAGCGGTGATACGCGGGCGGCAGCGGGCGCAGCAGCGGCGGTGCGCGGGCGGCGGCGGGCTCAGCAGCGGCGGTGCGCGGGCGGCTGCGGGCTCAGCAGCGGCGGGCCGGGAGCAGTGCGGGCAGCGTGCGGGCCGGCGGCGGTCAGCGCACGAGCCGCGCAGGCTCAGCGCGGGCTGCGCGGGCTGCTCGCGGGCTGCGTAAGCGGGTCGCGGGCGGCTCGCGGGGGTTCGCGGGCAGGTCGCGGGCTGCTCGCGGGCAGTTCGCGGGCTGTGCGCGGGCTGCGCGGGCTGGTCGCGGGCTGCGCAGGCGGGTCGCGGGCTGTGCGCGGGCGGTTCGCGGGCTGTGAGCGCGGCGCGCTGTGCGGTTCGCGGGCGGCGTGACGGGGCCGATCGGGGCGCTAAGGGGCGACGCGACGGGGGCCGTGAGAGGCCGCTAAAAAAAAAATTTCGACGGGGCCGCAGGGCCGCTAGATCGTGCTAGATCGACGGGGCCAGCGGGGCCGGAAACAAGCGAAGGTAAGCAGGTAGGTAAGTCGGTGGGCCCTAAGAACAGTCCTAGCGAAGGACCTGCTCTGAAACCATGTCAGAAATAACTGAGCAGGAATGAATGAACTAGAACAGAGTTTGGTACAAGTAGTAAACCCTAACTTTGTGTACCCCCTAAGGTGTAACCCACTACAGCCTAGACAATATAAACATGCAATGTTTGACAAGTTTGACACACCCCCATAGGCAAAGTGGGGGAGAACAAGGGGTCACACGACCAGTCAAGAGAAGCAAAACAAGCTCAGGGTGGATCACAACGTCACCACGCATTCTGAGCACAAGCAAAGGGCCACTGGGCCAGTTCACATGCAGAGATATATATGCAGCAATAACAGTACAGTGATGGCTACCTAGCAAGAGCCAGCATGCATATATATATATGTACAGATCACAGTACAAGCAGAGACTACAGCAAGTGTGGAAACGTAGGCACAAGGCCTAACAGAGTACAAAAGCGCTGATGATCACCAGACGGAAGTGCCTTGGTGAATATGTCAGCAGTGTTGGCCCGAGTGGCCACGTGGCGAAGACGAAGCTGGCCTCGCTGCTGCAACTCTCGAGCCAGGAAGTACCGCAGAGCAATGTGCTTCGTTCTGTGCTCCAGTCTGTGCTCCTCACACAAGGCAATGGCGGCCTTGTTGTCAACGTACAGCACTGGAGGAGAACGAGGCTGCTCTCCCAAGTCAGTCAGCAGGTAGGTGAGCCAGCGTAACTCCTGTGCAGCCATGGCGGTGGCGTAGATCTCAGCCTCACAACTGGAGCCGAGAACTGAAGTCGAGCGTGTAGAACGCCACGAAACTGAACCAGAGCCAAGGCTGAAGGTGTAACCCTATGACGACCGCTGAGTAGCCAGGTCGTCAACCCAAGAAGCGTCTGAGTGCCCAGTGAGGACAACTGGGCTCGTCCCTCCAAGCACTAGCCCCATGCCTGATGTGCTGCACAAGTAACGCAGTACCCTCTTAGCAGCAGCCATGTGCTCAGGTCGGTGCCGACCAGGAGCCACGTAGCGAGCCAGGAGACCAAGAGGGTACGCGAGGTCAGGTCGAGTGCAAGTCATCAGGTACATGAGGCAGCCGACTAGCTCTGGGTAAGGACCACTCGGCTCTACGGACTCGTCCGAAGGTGGAGCTGAGAGCGTGTGACCTGTAGCCAGAGGAGTGGCCTGTGCTGAAGACCAGGTGAAGCCGAAGCGCTGAAGGACCTGCTGCACCATGTGTGACTGAGTCAAGGTGATGGTGCGACGTGCTCTGTCTCGGGTGATCTGCAAGCCAAGGTAGCTGCGCAGCTCACCCAAGTCTGTGCACGTGTGTCTCTTCTGCAGCTCCGACTTCACATGGGCGAGAGCCTCAGTGTCAGCAGTGGCAAAAACCAAGTCGTCGACATACACGAGGATGTAGAACGGCGGCAGGGAAGTGTCGGTGCGCAGAAACAGCGACGGGTCAGCAGTAGAAGGCGCAAACCCAAGAGCCGCAAGCGTAGTCCTCAGTGTGTCGTGCCACTCACGTGGCGCCTGGCGGAGACCGTAGACCGGCCGCCGGAGGCTCCACTGGGTACCAGGAGGGAACGACCCAGTGAAGCCCGGGGGGCGGCGCAGCCAGATCTCCTCGTGCAGGCTGCCCTGCAGGAAAGCTGTGCTGAAGTCAAGAGAGTGAAGCTCGTAGTCACGGTGAGCAGCAACGTGCAGCAGCACCCGAAGAGTGGTCATCTTCGGGGTGGGGGAGAAGGTCTGGAAGAAGTCAACTCCCTCACGCTGACTGAAGCCTCGAGCCATGTAACGCGCCTTGAAGACAGGCGGAGAACCCGGCGGCCGCTTCACCCTGAAAATCCACATGCCACTGACGATGTTCGCCCCAGGTGGGGGAACCTCGTCAACGTAGGTGCCTGTGGACTTCCAGGAAGCCATCTCTGCGTCCATGGCTGCCTGCCACTGAGAGGAGTAGGGACCCTCTATCGCCTCTGCGTAAGAGCGCGGAGTCGGGATGTCTGGTGCATCCGGGTCTCCCTCAGGGGCAAGTAGCGAGGACACAAGATGAGGTAAAGCAGCAGCAAGGCACTGGAACTCCTCCTGCCTGTCCTCAAGGACGTCCGTGCTAAGAGCACACTCACCCCCGACGGACAGAGGACAGACAGACTCAGACTCAGTAACAAGACTGGCAGTGAAGTCTAGACGACAGGCAGCAGCAAAGTCAACAAGCTCAGCGACAAGAGCAGACGCAGCAGCAGACTCAAACGACGGGTCAGTGACAACTGTGGCTAGTAGACGCGTGACAGTAGGGTGCTGAGCACGAAACCGGTCAGACGCAGGGTCCGGAACGTCAGGCAAAGAGGACGCAGGAGGAGACGGCAGAGGAACAGGCTGCGGAACAGAGGAAGGACGACGGACTACGAGGTGTGCACTGGGGACAGCCGGCGGACGCGAACGAGGAACACGAGGACCGGTACGACCAGGACGAGCAGGCGAGACAGGACGCGACGCAGGCTCACGACGCACAGCAGGACTACCAGTCAGCTCAGCGTAAGGAGAAGGAGCAGGCAGCGGCGAGCCAGTCTGTAACGGAAGACCAGTAGACGACGGAAGAGTAAGAACCTGACGAAGAACAGAGGCAGACGGCGGCAGAGACGACGGAGACGGCGGAGCGAAGAACAGTCGTGTCGGCGCAGCTGCACCAGAACCAGCAGCTCCAGCAGCTCCAGTGCCTCCAGCAGCTCCAGTGCCTCCAGCAGCTCCAGTACCTCCAGCAGCTCCAGAAGCTCCAGGCCCAGAGCCGACACCTCGAGTCCCAGGGTCTCCAACCTCTGTGTCTCCAGCAGCAGCACCCCCAGAACCAGTACCTCCAGTCCCAGGGTCTCCAACCGCAGGGTCTCCAGCAGTAGCACCCCCAGAACCAGCACCTCCAGCTCCAGGGTCTCCAACCTCAGTGTCTCCAGCAGCAGCACCCCCAGAGCCAGCACCTCCAGTCCCAGGGTCTCCAGCCTCAGTGTCTCCAGCACGAGCCCCTCCAGAACCAGCAACTCCAGCACCTCCAGTAGACAAAGGACCAGCACGACTCCGAGCTCCAGCAGCGCGACGCTGACGGCGACCGTACCAGTCCTGCAGCTGCTGTGGGGTGAGAGGCACACGGGGACGAAGGCGGCCACTCCAAGGAGACCGCGCAACAGCAGACTCAGAACCCTCAGCGCCCGCACCCCCAACGGCTCCAGAACCTCCGGTGTCAGTACCCTCAGCACCAGTACCTCCAGCGACTCCAGAACCTCCAGCGCGAGCACCCTCAACAGCTCCAGGACCTCCAGCTCCAGCGCCACCAGGACTAGGCCCTCCAGCAGCTCCTGAACCTCCAGCGCCAGCACCCTCAGTAGCTCCAGAACCTCCAGCGTCAGTACCGCCAAGCTCAGCACCCCCAGACCCCTCACACGCAGGCTCAGCACCACCAGGCTCCACACCCTCAAGCTCCGCACCCTCAGGCTCAGTACCCCCAGACTCAGCACCCCCAGGCTCCGCACCCCCAGGCTCAGCACCCCGAGCAGGACCACTCGCAGGAGGACCTGAGTCACCAGTGACCTCAACCGGCGCAGTCAAGGGAGGAGGGTCTACCTGAGAAACACCTGAAGGAGCAGGACCGGGAGCGGGGAGGGGGTCTACCTGGGGAGCACCTGGAGCGAGGAAGAGCGGCGGGGGGGGGAGCGGGGCAGTGCGGTAGGGGAAGAGACGGTAAAAGGGAACCGACTCGTCGAACGTGACGTCCTGAGACGCAAAGACACGGCGCGAGGTGGGGTGGTAAAACTGCCAACCAGGCGCGTCAGGGACAAAACCAAGGAAGACACAGGGAACAGCGCGGGCGGAGAGCTTGTCCGCGGTGGTATCGCGGACAAAGGCACGAGCACCCCAGACCCGGAAACGCGACGCATCGCCAACCTTCCCCGTCCACAGCAGTGTGGGCGAGGTCTCCGGCAAGGAGACACGGGGCCAGAGGTTGAGCTGATGCGCGGCGTACCGGACCGCAAACGGCCACAGAAAATGGGGGGCAGCCGCATGGATCATGGAGGTACGAGCGACCTCCATGACTAAGCCAATGCGGCGCTCAGCAACCCCATTCTGCTGCGGAGAGGCCGGAAGCGTGAACGACTGGGTGATGCCGTGCTCCGCACAGTAGGCTGCCAAGAGGTCGGAGGAGAACTCACCACCTCTGTCAGAGTGCAGACGCAGGACAGGAAAGTCCGACCGGAACCGCTCGCGGAGCTGGAGACGAACAGCGCGGATCCAGGGGATCAAAACAGCAGGGACGTCCCCCTTGCTCTGCAAGGGGAAGACCGTGGTGTAACGCGTGTAGTCGTCGACGACCAGCAGGAAGTACCGCTCGCGGCCCTGTCCCTGGACGCGGGCTGGGCCCCACACGTCCAGGTGGAGTGTCTGCAGTGGAGCCTCTGTGGGAGGAAACGAGGAGGAGTGAGGAGCGGCGCGCTGCCGCCCCTCGACGCAAGGAATGCAGGGCGGCGCAGGCGAGGGAGGGAGGGCAGGCAGGGACCTGGGAAGACCAGAGACCAGGGAGCGAGAGTGCATGCTACGCAGGCGAGGCAAGGAGGGGTGACCAAGGCGGTGGTGCCACAGGAGAGTGTCGTGCGACAAAGCGCGACACTCGCAGGGGGCCGCCAGCTGACCAGACGCAGACGCAAACGCAGACGCAGCTACCTGAGGGGACTCAGTGGTCAGTGTGTACAGACTCGAGCCAGGTGCACGGGTGAACGTGGCCAAGTGCCGGCCCGTCCTAGCACACGTACAGTGAGTCACTCGCTGACTCGCAGGAGTGAACTGGTGAACCCCCCCATCCTGGAGGTCAGCTCCACTCACCAAGTTCGTAGAGAACGAGGGGAGGTAAAGACCTGACAGCGAGCCGGACGGGACGGCCGGACACGGCAGAACCGTGGAATAGTGGGCAAGGACTGGACCCCCAGAGGGGTCCGCCAGGGAGACCGGGACTGGCCGACGGAGCGGCGTGAGTGCGGTGCAGTCGCGAAAGAAGGAGCGGGAAGCTCCTGAGTCAAGGGTGAAGGTGTGCGAGACCGCAGTGGGCGCAGTACCAGAGAGAGCAGACACAGCAGCACCTGAAGCCACGGCCTCACCAGTACCTAGAGCAGTAGACGTACTAGCACCGAGAGCAGCAGCCTCACCAGCACCTAGAGCAGGAGACGCACTAGCACCTAGGGCAGCAGCCTCACCAGGGTCAGGCGGTACGCACAGGCAACAGGCACGGTCAGCACTAGTAGACAATGCATACATGGCAGTGAGAATAGCATCATAGTCAAGCGCAAAGATATCTACCCTCTGTCTATGCAGCTCCAGCCAGGTGGGGAGCTCAGCCTCGTCGCCAAACACTGTGCGCCAGTCGTCGCTCAGACGGGCGAAGCAGCGGGACTGTGTGTGACCAAGCGTCCCACAAGGCTGACCAGTCCTAGCACCTGTGCGAATGACGTACGGGCAGCGGACTGTACGCGTAGACCTGCTACACTGAGCGTACCACTCCTGGAGCTGCCGGGGCGTAAGTGTCTCACGTGGACGTCCCTGCAGCTGCAGCTGGCCACTGCCAGACGCTCCCAACTGACCAGCTCCAGGGCGACAGCTACGACGGCTACCGCGACAACCCCAGCTAGTATACCACTCACTAAGCTGCTGGGGCGTCAGAGGCTCGCGTGAATGTCGCTGGAGCTGCATCTGGCCACCTGCCAGTAGCAGTAGCGCAGGCAAGGCAGGCGCGGCAGGCAGGCAAGCAAGCAGGCAGGCAGGCAGGCAGGCAGGCCGGCAGGCAGGCAGGCAGTCAGGCAGGCAGGCAGGCAGGCAGACAGGCAGGCAGGCAAGTAGACACGCAGGCCGGCAGGCAGGCAGGCAGGCAGGCCGGCAGGCAGGCAGGCAGCCAGGCCGGCAGGCAGGCAGGCAGACAGGCAGGCCGTCAGGCAGGCAGGCAGGCGCTCACCAAAGGCTGGGAGAGCAGGGCCGGCGCTCGAGTATGCGCACGACAGCGGCGACGTCGGGGCCGCAAAACCGGCTGCAGAGCAGGGCCGAAACAGCTGTAGAGCGGGGCTGCGCCAGCGACAGTAGCAGGGTGGGGCCGCGTCAGCGGCAGGTCGGGGCCGTGGCAGCTGCAGGGCGGGGCCGCATCAGCGGCAGGTCGGGGCCATGGCAGCTGCTGGGCGGGGCCGCATCAGCGGCAGGTCGGGGCCGAGGCAAAGGGCCGCGCGCGGCCGCGCTAGGGAGTAGCGGGCCGCGCGCGGCTCGGCGCGGGCTGTTGCGGGCCGCGCGCGGGCCGTGCGAGGCAGGAGCAGGCCTCGCGCGGCTCGGCACGAGCTGCTGCGGGCCGCGCGCGGGCTGCGCGAGGCCGTAGCAGGCCGCGCGCGGCTCGACGCGGGCTGCGCGGGCTCGGCGCGGGCTGCGCGCGGCAGCTGCGAGCTGCGCGCGGCTCGGTGCGGGCTGCGCGCGGTTGCAGCGGGCTGTGCGCGGCTCGGTGCAGGCTGCGCGCGGCTGCAGCGGGCTGCGCGCGGCTCGGTGCGGGCTGCGCGTGGCTGCAGCGGGCTGCGCGCGACTCGGGGCGGGCTGCGCGGTCTCGGTGCGGGCAGCGCGCGGTAGCAGCGTGTGTGCGGGCCCGACAGGCGTGTAGAGGCGGCGCGCGGGCCTTACGGGCCTCTAGGGGCAGCGCGCAGGCAAGGCAAGGCAAGGCAAGGCATACAAGGCAAGGCAAGGCTACGTGGGGTAGCGCGGTAACCGCAGCGGTAGGTGGGCCCGAAAAAAAACGGTCCTACGGACCTTAGTGCTCTGAAACCATGTTAGAATCTAGCAGCAGGAATGAGTGAACTAACAGGATGCAGGAGTACAAGTAGTAAACCCTAACTAGGTTGTACCCCATATGGGCTACCCCACTACAGCCTAGACAATATGCAGCACATATAGTTTGACAACAACTTAACTTGTCCTTCTGCCCAACATACAATCCTGCTGTCCCCTTCTTCGTCTCTCCCCTTCCTTGCCCCCACCGTGCCATTCTGCCCACTACTGCAGGTGAAGCACGTGTTTGACACCATAGCTCTGGCTGTCGGCCTTGCAATTGGCTCTCATCAACGGCCAATCATAGCTCGCTGAAGAGGCAACCCACCTCGTGCCGCACCCTGCCGCCCGTTATGACCCCTTGGGCCTCCTCAGTCACTCGAGATACAGACAGGGACACGGCTACAGCAGTGGCCCAATTCACCTCGCTCACCCTCGCCGCTGCCGCTGCCGCCCCTTCCGCCACCACTGCTGCCACGTCAGCAGTTGCCGGCATGCAGGCTGACATGGCAGTGAGCATGCCGGCTATTTGTTCCTAGTGTCGTAATCCCGTGTTCTTGCTCCTCCCACTTGCTCTCATCTTTTCACACGCAACCCTGCCTTCCCATCTTCCATCCCTTCCTTCCCATCACCGCTCTCCCTGCCTTCCTCACTCGCTCTCCCTGTGCTCGCATCTCCTCTCCCTGCTTCGCGCTCTCCTCCCGTGTCGTGTCCTGGTGGCCAGCACTACTGCGCTGTTGCGAGTGTGTGTGAAGCAGTGCGTTACATCCCGACGAGTTCGTGGCCTAGTCGGAGTTGCCGCCTGCGTTATTACACGACGCCAGTCCCCCCAATTCATCCCCTTCTTTCCTGCTTTTCCCTTCATTGACCTTCCTTCCTTTCCCACCCCCCTGCCCTTCCCTTCCCTGCTCCACCCTTCCCTTTCCATCCCTTCTCCCTTCCCGTCCCTTGCATGCCCACCCCTCCCACATCACTCGCCACCGTCTACCCTCAAGTTCTTGTGCATGAAGTGCCATTACTTTCTTGAATTCCTTTGTTGCTTCTCCCCTTCTGCCTCACAGCACCTTCCCATTGGGCCTTACACAATCGTTTTTGCCTACTCTGCTAATTGGCTGTGTTGATACAGAGGGCAGCAATTACAAGCAGAGGCGTAGCTGGTGGATGGTTGCCCCCACTTTTGTTTTGTCTCGTGTGCGTTGTAATGCAAGTATGGTAGTGAGTTAATCTTAGAGACATGCGTCATGAAGCCTACTATGTACTACCACGATTCAGCAGTGCAATATCCTTCCAAGTTGCACTAACAGGTGTCACATCCCCTACGGGTAGAAAGAAGCATGTCCTCACATAACTTTATACTGTAGGCAAAGACCAAGAGGAGCAATGCCGTTCTATTGACCCTTTCTCTATGCCTTTGGCAACAAATATTAGCTGCTTTGACATGAGATGATTGGCTGAGGCGTGTTGAAATCTTCAGAGCAGTCAGTCACTGAAATAGTAAGGGGAGGGGAAAGAATCCGGGCGGGGGGGGGGGGAATGAGGGGAATCAGGGGGGGGGGGGGGGGGGGGGGGGGGGGGGGTGGGGTGGGAGGGGGGAGGCGATGAGTGGAATCAGGGGGGGGTGGGGGGAATGAGGGGGAGAAGTGAGGAGAAGGGAATCAGGCTTTGGAAGGCATGTGAGGAGAAGCACATTGAGATCGCTTTCAGCGTTGGAGGGATTGCAGGGAAGGTAACAAGAGGGAATAGTATAGCAGGGAGGCAGGAGGAAAGGAAGAAAAGGAGGGAAGGGAGAGAAGGGAGGGAAGGGAGGGAAGGGAGGAAAGGGAGGAAAGGGAGAAAAGGGAGGAAAGGGAGAAAAGGGAGGAAAGGGAGAAAAGGGAGGAAAGGGAGAAAAGGGAGGGAAGGGAGGAAAGGGAGAAAATGGATGAAAGGGAGGTTGCCACGATCCCCTGCCATACACTTTGCCATCGCGGCCTATCCATGCCCAGATTGCTGGCACGTAGGTTGCTTGTGAGGCGCAAATATTAGGATGTACTGTCAGGAAAGCACCCCACCTGCAACACAAGCACAGAAATCAATCAAGGGGATGTGGATGTGAGAGCTGTTGGAGACGAGAATGAAACTAGTGTGGGACTGGGTGGAGAGGTGGCTTTGATGTGTGAGGATTGGCGCAGGCGGTACAATGTGCGGAGTTGGAGTCACCCCGCCTGCAAGAGAAGCACGGTTTGAGAAAGTATAGCCATGAAAACACGGTATCGAGAGGGAAGGGAGGGAAGAGAGGGAAACGAGGGAAGGGAGGGAAGAGAGGGAAACGAGGGAAGGGAGGGAAGCAAGGGAAACGAGGGAAGGGAGGGAAGAGAGGGAAACGAGGGAAGGGAGGGAAGAGAGGGAAACGAGGGAAGGGAGGGAAGAGAGGGAAACGAGGGAGGGAGGGATGAGAGAGAATCGAGGGAAGGGAGGGAAGAGAGGGAAACGAGGGAAGGGAGGGAAGAGAGGGAAACGAGGGAAGGGAGGGAAGAGAGGGAAACGAGGGAAGGGAGGGAAGACAGGGAAACGAGGGAGGGAGGGATGAGAGAGAATCGAGGGAAGGGAGGGAAGAGAGGGAAACGAGGGAAGGGAGGGAAGAGAGGGAAACGAGGGAAGGGAGGGAAGAGAGGGAAACGAGGGAAGGGAGGGAAGAGAGGGAAACGAGGGAAGGGAGGGAAGAGAGGGAACCGAGGGAGGGAGGGATGAGAGAGAATCGAGGGAAGGGAGGGAAGAGAGGGAAACGAGGGAAGGGAGGGAAGAGAGGGAAACGAGGGAAGGGAGGGAAGCGAGGGAAACGAGGGAGAACGGGATGGGGAAAGGGGAGAACGGGATGCGGAAAGGGGAGAACGGGATGCGGAAAGGGGAGAACGGGATGCGGAAAGGGGAGAACGGGATGGGGAAAGGGGAGAACGGGATGGGGAAAGGGGAGAACTGGATGGGGAAAGGGGAGAACGGGATGGGGAAAGGGGAGAACGGGATGGGGAAAGGGGAGAACGGGATGGGGAAAGGGGAGAACGGGATGGGGAAAGGGGAGAACGGGATGCGGAAAGGGGAGAACGGGATGCGGAAAGGGGAGAACGGGATGCGGAAAGGGGAGGACGGGATGCGGAAAGGGGAGAACGGTATGGGGAAGGGGAGAACGGGATGGGGAAAGGGGAGAACGGGATGGGGATAGGGGAGAACGGGATGGGGAAAGGGGAGAACGGGATGGGGAAAGGGGAGAACGGGATGGGGAAAGGGGTGAACGGGATGGGGAAAGCAGAGAACGGGATGGGGAAGGGGAGAACAGGATGGGGAAAGGGGAGAACGGGATGGGGAAAGGGGGGATTGGTCGGCGAATAAGGGCCTGCATGTTGTGGCGCGGTGAGCGTGATCAAGGTGGCGTGAGGAGGCGAGGTGACGATGCCGCGTGCGGATTTGCGGCGAGGCGACGCCGTGACGGGCGTTGAGGCGAAGCTACGACGCGATGTCCGGCGAGGCAGCGGGTTCTGACTCGAGGGAGGCAATTTGCGGCGAGTGGATCATGCAAAAGAGGGATCTCCTAGGCTGCGTGGGGAGGCAAGGAAACCACTACGGAAAGCGCGGCGAAGCGGCGAGGAGAGGGGAAGTGAGGGGCTGCGGAGGAAGGCGTGACAAGATTCCACATTATGCGGGCTCGTCGGTTCGCGCGCGTGATCGCAACCCTACGCGTGGCCAGGCCGGCTGCCACACTAATCGTACGATTGACGCGACGGCGACGCCCGCGACTACTAAACGACTAGATGTGTATTCGTCGACTCTAGCGCCGGCGAGCCTAAGGGATCTGCTACGGTCGCGTCGCACTTCAATGCTATAGGCAGGTATTTTTTTAGTAGTGCAGGCTGAGAACGCTACGAGAGTGTGCTGGTGCGGGGGGAATTGAATCAGTATACTTTTGGCATCTATAAAGTTTTGGCACTCGACTGGGCTGACTTGGTGGGGAGGGAACCCCTTGTTTCTTAGAGAGAAGTTGGGTGGCACGTAATTCGGTAACCACCATGTACCTTTTATAAACTTTTGGCACAGGCCCTGCCAAATGTATACCGCCGCTTTAAACATTTGACGGATATTACATCCCACTCCCAAACAATACCCTGCAGCAAAATGTCAAAATAGCAGTGTATGCACCTTGCCCGCTGTATTGTATCAAAACCGGATTATTTCAACCCACATCATCATCTAGAAAAAACCCTGCTTCGAAAGTTTTAAAATCTCAAATCTAAGAGAACCAAGACTAAAACCCCAAACAAAAATCTGCCTCCAAGGGCATCTTCAGTCGCGTGTCAACCAAGTATGGCGGGTCCACCCATGGTGCTCCCTCCCCAAACTCTTGCTCCCCACCCCCTCGCCACTCCGCCTTGGACTGACCCAAAGTGTATGCCGCTTGCAAAAGTATCACCTGCGCCCATGCCTTCTGCAAAGCTACCCCCACCGCGGCTGTCAGGGTCCCCACCAAGTATTCCGAGAAACCTGCCCAACATCATTATTGGGATAGCCTTTCAATATGTACGCCCTCTCTATGGAAGCATGAGCTTTGGCCCAAGCTAGTTGTGGCCTGTACTTGGGCACTTCCCACTGCAAATATATGGTTACCTCACTGAGCACAAAAAATTACTACAGGCAAAGTGGCACACCAGGAACACTACTAACAATAGACCGACAGACAGCGAGGTGTTTGTCTAAGCTGGACAAGAGGTAAAGCAACATAGGAAGCAGCTATCTACTGCATTTACCGTTTGAGGTTCAACGGTGGTGATCAGAGGGGAGGGGGGGGGGTAAATGAGAAGGGAGAAAGTTTTGGACGGGAGAGAGGTTTGCAGCTGGCTTGTTTGAATCCGTTTGTATGTGTCAGGGAGTACCTTTTTCCCCAAGGCTTCAGCCCCCTTGTCTGCTACGTCGCCCATTATTCTTTCTGGCTCCGAAGTGAATTTCCCTACAAGTCATTTTGGTTGCAACTCGTAAGCTTGCAGCAACTGTTTGAGCTGCTGCTGCTGCTGCTCTTGTTGCTGCTTTTGTTGAGACGTCTCAAAAATCTGCGCCTGCTCCTGCTGCTGCTGTCCTCCTCCTACTACTACGCTGCCAGTTTTGTCTGGGAACGCGTCGCTCACTACGCAGCCAATAGAAGACTCGGAACCGCATCGCATGCGGTTCAAGTGCTGCCCCCTTCTGCCAGTGTGCCATCCACGCGCAACACTGTGACTCCCACGCCAAACGTGATACTACCACTCTGGCATGCTACGAATCGCCTACGCCTAAGCAGGACTCAGGGCGACTCGACTCGTCTACGCCCACACGTGCATCTTCTCCCGCCGACTCCCGCCGAAGCGCTTCAGGAGGAACCGCCGGATGTGCCCCGCTCTGTTGGCGGGAAAAAACTCGCGAACGAATGCGATCCGCTTCTCCTGTTTCTTCTCATCGGGAACCTTCGAGGTTCGTTCCTCTGCGTCCCACTCCTTCCAATGTGATGACGCCACGTCATTATGGTTGTCGTTCGACCAATCACTGGAGTCGCTGTCGCCCACCACCGAGCCGCACTCGCTGCTGCTGGCGGTCTCCGATGCGCAATCGAATTCCGCGGCGCACACATTTTCATGCGCTTTCGAGACGAAAGAAGACGACGTTGACGACGAAACGAGGTTGCTGCTGCTGCCGTTCCGAGCATTATTCTTATTGAACTCGCCACTGAAGTAGTTGGGTTGGGTTCGGTCATTGATTGGGCTCAGACCGTATGTGCTAGAATTTTCGTGTTCGGATTCGAACGAACTTGACGACATCGTTCGCTTGAGAACGGGCTGCTTGCCGAACGAGAGGTTAAACTTCGCCAAACTTCGCAGCGACAAGCTCCGCGACTTTGTGGGGCCTTCAAAATCCCAAGACGATGCAACCCCGCCGCCTTTCGCAAAATCGTAACGATCGGCGTCGGCAGTCGGCGAATCACTGCCGATCATTCCCCACTCCTCCACCTCGGCATTCCCAAGAAGTGATTCCTCCTTTTTACGAGATTTGACAAAGTCGTTTGGCGAAAACAGTCCTGAACCGGCGTTATTCGCAGCCGTGAGGCTGATTGACCGCGGCATCCATCTTAATAACTGAGGCCCCTTGTCACCGCCATTCCCGCTGCCATGATTGCCGGCTCTTGGGGAGAGATCAAGCGCAGGACCGGATTCCGCAAGCGCGGAAAGTTTTCCGCGAATGTCGGGCCCTCGGCGGCGGGAGCTCACGTCGAATGTGGGCAGGTTGATGCCGCCCATGGTCGGATTTCGGAGTCTGAAGCAGTCAGCGGGGGGGATGCGGAGGGATCTGTGTCCGGGTTTCACGGAATAAGGACCTTTTTTACGAAGGCGCAGGAAAGAAAGTATGAATCTACTATCTTGTGGACATTCGCTTGGGTGGTGAGCTCTGAGGAGGGTGTTCCGCTGTTCCGATAGGGATTCCGTCTACGCCTAGACCTGCAGAATGTCGTACTGGGAAAATGCCACAGTTGTCATGGAGGTATGTGTGCTTATGGTCGAGATGAAGATATGTAATTCAGTTGCCATGGCCCGCAAACGATGCACCCGTTCGATGTGGCGGATCTGACTGCGCGGGTGCGTTTGCTTGCAACCGAGGAGGGATGCATCTGCGAATGCAGTAGTATTGCGTGGGGGGGAATGCACGGTTCGGGTTCTTCGACTTCATTCTCTGGAGTTGTTGGGTTGAACGTTGAGGTTGGGTGACAGTGTCGTGGCGGGGAGTGCCCCTTTTCACACCAACCATTTGCCGCGGCGCGACACGGCATCTGGTTTATGACAGAAGCAAATTTTTCATTTCGAACGGGAACAGGTGTTTTTTGTATGGGCTTGGTTCACCAGCAAAGCGGACAGTCCACAAGTCTCTGGGTGCGGGAGGGAGGCTGCGCGGGCGGACCTGGCCGCGGAAACAAATTCAGCGCGCCGCAGCAGAATGCGAAGCGCTGTGAGTTTCTGCACAGCAGGATGAATGAAGTGATTCCCTGCCTAGTGTAAGTGAGGAAGACAGCTGTCAACGGTAACCATGCAGTCAACAGCTGTCGACTGGCGAATTTCCGCGACCGTTGCGAGGTTTCGGTGGGGCGGTCAACAAATGTACATGTCGGTGAGAGGGGGCTGGGGTGGGAAGTCATTTGTGAAGTTGTTTGTCACATCTCATAATCGACGAGGATGTAGAGAAACAATTTTAATCGTATAACGGATCGTACTGTGGAAACGTACTTGCTGAGCCGTCACCATGCTTTTCGCCAAATATTTCGCTAGAGCCGTTGCTGCTCATCGCGAGTCGCTCGCCCCCACTTGGCGCCGTCCCCACAATAGGCACTCCCGCGCCGCCAAACCGTAGGGTAACCAACCGGAAACCGAATCGCTAACGACATTTGGCACGCATACGACCCCCAAATTAGTTTCCCTCTTCCCCCACACCCACCCCCCCTTCCAAATCCCTTCGGCCTCCTCGTATCCCTCTGCTCCATCCAAGCTAGCACATGCGTAGTTGCATCATTCCAGGATCTGTCTGTAGTCCCGTGGCCTCCATCTCCCTGCGGAGACTCCCTCCCGCTCAGGGCCTATGTTATCAGGGCAATTACCCTGTTTTGACTGAAATTATAAGGTGATTTTTAGAGCAACCCTAATTTTCACAAGGTGATTTTCGGACCAGCCCGTAAAACTGAAGGGTGATTTTTGAGCCCACTCGGATCACTCCGGGTTGTTTTCGCGGGGACCCGGATAGATTCAGAACACTTTTATAGTCCCCGACCTGCCTCGCATCCCCTCCCTCTCCCCGTGTACAACGCATTGGCCAGTTTCAGTTAATTTTCCTTAGCTTCGCTCCTGGTTGGGCCTCCAGGTGTTTGATTTCCGGTACTACGTTGACGTTATTAGTACTCCTCCATGCATATAAAACTTTTAAAGTCCACAGAAAGTCTCTCTCCCCCCCTCTAGCGCCGCTCTTTAATTTCCAACCTTCCCAGCCTTCGTGCCAACCCACTGTGAGTTTCACGAGCAACACCCCATCCCGCGAGATTCCGGTAAGGTGGTTTTCAGGCCTTTTCTGGCTCGAACCCGGATTCGTGAAGGCTTTTTTTCAGCTGGCTCGTAATTTACAGGGTATTTTTCACAGGGACCCGGATCGTCCGAGCTATAAAAAATCCTAGCAATAGCCCTGCTCCCGCTCCACCCGTGTCAAGGACGTGTGTACAGTGCATGCGCCAGGACGAGCCGCCTAGGAAACCTACGCATACGCGATTCTAAACCAAACTGGATCCTTACACACATGGAAGAAGTGGGATTCCTCCTGGGACAAACAAATTGGCGCCTCGCTTGTCTGTTGGCAGAAAAACCCAGAGGCTGGTGCCCTGCCTGCTCTGCCTGATCAGATTCGTGCCTGGAGCACAGCGTAACAACACAGCCCAGCACCCTCTCTGCGAGGCAGTCTCTGATCACATGATTCCATCCCATTATCCCATCCCACCAGCTCCTCTCGTTTCCGACACCATGGCGCGTTTGTGGTGGATGGCTTCTCCGGTTGCGATAATGAGTCCACTGCACAGCGACTTAAGCCACGGCTCGATTTAAGGTCCCCTCTTTCGGCGTTTTGTTGTCTATTTCCTCCGCCACCCACCGCGCTTCCCCTCCTTGGCTGCGTGCGGCTCAACCCGCACGCACGACGCGGTGCTATGAACTCGCTGCGTCTGCCACAGCCTTCCCTTCTTCCCTCCCCCCTCCTCCTCCTCCCCCACCACCAAACGGCGCGCACAACACTGCGTCGAATTCGTGCTGTGCTTTGTCGCACCAGCGCTGCCGAATCCACGCCGCCGAATTTCCGCTGCCGAATTCGCGGCTATAGGTGAAGCAGTTATTCATCCGTGTTTTTGGCTCGAACCAGAACACAAACGTAGTTTTGCCTTTTCCATCCACTCACTTCCTGCCAGCATCGTTGCCGTCTCATTAGGAGGAAGCCATTAGCAAAGGCAGGCATGGAAGTGAAAGGCAGCATCATAACAGCGTGTTCATCCAACCACTAGTGTCATAGTGCGAGTTTTTTATTGTCACAGAATCAGGCTACTTATTCCTATAACCGTCGGGTCAACCGTTACTAGCGCTGCTCGAATCGCTAGCCGCCTCCATCTCTACAATAGTACCTCAGTAGCTCTTGCTGCGGCCCACTTCCGCCATCTCCGGCGCATCTCCCGCCGCTTTCTTCGCTTACAATTTCCTACAGCCGTAGCCTGCGCCGGCAAACGCGGAAGCCATGGGGTCGGGAATGAGCCGCCCGCGGCGCAAAAAGGGCCCCGACATCCGCGGAAAGATGTCCGCGCTCTCAGACCCCTCCGCCTCCGCCTCCGCCTCCGCCTCCGCCTCCCGCTCCTCCTCCGGCTCCGCTTCCGCCAAAACCTCCTCCCCCTTCGCGTGGATCGCGCAGCGCGCCAAGGCCCTCCGCGAGGGGAAGACGTGGCGGCGGCGGCAGAAGAAGCGGGAGCGGCGGCGCCGGCGGCGGCTGGAGAATTCCGAATCAGTTGAGCCGGTGGGGCCGTGGCTGCGCGAGATCCGGCCGGATCAGAACTGGGCGGAAAAGCTTTCGGGGAAGCAGTACTGGGCGGAAGCGGCAACGTCGGGGGACATCATCCGGGAGAAGGTGCGGAGCCATGTGGCTTCCCCCGAGGCCAAAAGCGCGGGGAAGCGTGCGCGGGAAAATATGCGCGTATCTACGTGCATGATCTCGCCTCTGCCTCCGCCTCCGCCCTTGTTCCCCGCGTCGTCCCCGAGTGGCGAGGCGCCTCAGAATCCGTCACAACCGGCGGGACCTTCGCCGCCTGTCCCGGCTGGACCTTTGCCGCCCATCATGGCGGGGAATACGCCGCCTACCACGGCGCCGTGCTTTGGAAGCACTGTGGTTGCTGCGGTTTCGGCAGATACTCCTACAGCAGCTATAGCCGCTACAACAGCCGCTGCGCCCATTGCGCCTCCTATAGTTACAGAAACGCCTGTGGTTACAACAGCTGCTCCTGCTCCTGTTCCTGCTTCTGTTCCTGTTCTCGCCCCTCCCCCTGCTCCTGCTCCTGCTCTTGCTCCACCAGCAAATCCAGTCGTCACGGCGGTTCCTAAGGTTACGGAGTTGTTCGCACTTGCTGCTCCATCTCCTGCTGCCCCTGTCGTTGCAGTTGCAATCTCCACGGCTCCTGATACCCCTGTCGCCGTTGCACCAGCAGCTGTGGTTACCACATACCCCTCGGTTACATCGGGTGCAGCATCGATTCCCGAGGTACAATCATTCCTCGATGACGCTCCAATAGTTATCAGACCTCCAACGGCTGTTGAAATTCCTTCGCTGTTGGACGAAGTTCCTGTTACCACGCCCACATCGGCAGCAGCAGCAATTCCCGAGATACAGTCAGTCCTCGATGGCGCTCCCATGGTTATCGGCGCTGCAGCTTCGGTTGCTCCTGTCGCTGCAGTTGCGGTTCCCGCGGGTCCTGTTCTTCCTGCCGTTTCACCAGCCCCTGTGGTTACCACATTTCCCACAATTACGTCAAGTGCAGCAGCAATTCCCGAGATACAATCATTCCTCGATGGCGTTCCCATGGTTATCGGCGCTGCAGCTTCGGTTGCTCCTGTCGCTGCAGTTGCGGTTCCCGCGGGTCCTGTTCTTCCTGCCGTTACACCAGCCCCTGTGGTTACCACATTTCCCACAATTACGTCAAGTGCAGCAGCAATTCCCGAGATACAATTATTCCTCGATGACGTGCCCATGGTTATCGAACCTCCAACTGCTCTTCAGACCGAAAGCCCATCGCTATTAGGCGACGTTCCTGTTGTCACACCTACGACGGCGACACCTGCTGCAGTAACTTCGTTGTTGGACCACACCCCCACCATAAATCCATCCCTTCCTGTAGTTACCACCACGGCCCTGCCAGCTGTCACACCGGTTAAACCGGTTACACCGATTACAGCAGTTGCAACTGTGACAACGGCCCCTGTTACAACGCCAGTCGAGCCTGGCTGGCTCAACTTCGTATAGAGTTGCGGGGATTCCCGCCAGCGCCACCAAGCAATACTCTCAGGTGGGAACATTTGGGAAGCGAACTTCCGAGTGTTTGGTGTGATCTCACACTGAAGGCGTATCTGCGAGTGTGTGTCCCTTTACTTCCAGTCACTAGGTGGTTTGAAGAGTCAAGCGGGTCCCATGCATGAACGCAAGATTGCATGCATGGCCAAGCATTTATGCATGGTCAAGCGTGTCCCATGCATGAACGCATGCATGCATGGCCGAGCGGGTTTCACTGTGAAACCAGTTGCTCCTTCTGAACCAATCATGACCGTGCTAGTTTTTCTTCCAGGTCTTGTCAAACGCTTGTGTTCCTGTCTTTCCCTGCTGATCTCGTCCTCGTTTTCCTCTTTCATTCACTCGCCATCGACTTCCCCTCTGCCATCCCCCCTCTCCTCCCACTTCTCCCCCCTGTTGCCCCCCTGGTTCACTCCCTCCCCCCCATTCTCGTTCCCCCCGTCTCCCCCTTCCCCGTTTCTCTTTCTCTCACGCACGTGGACACTCCTTACTTGCCCCACCCCAGCCGCCACTACATTGAACTTTGAGTGTGCTGGTATGTGCTTGTGTGTATGTGTTGTGTCTGTGCACATTTGCATGTGTGCATGTGCTTGGATGTACTCATGTGTGTTTGGGAGTTCTTGGGTGGCCTTGCATATTCATGTTGACAGGAAAAGGTTGAAGCCATCTGATATGCTTGGCGAAAGAACTTTGAAGACAGAGGAGAACGCCACTAATTGGTTTCTCATTTCTGTTGATTTTAGAGCCGAATAGGGCAAATTATTTGAAACAATGCTCAGGTAGCATAGTCTTCCATACCTGTCAATTGGCTTTTGGTTGATGTAGTGCCTTTCTAATTAGACACGTGCATACACATTGTTGTACCAGTGATATATATCATAATTTTTCCCCGCTATAGAGGTTTGTCATATTTTACAGATGTTTTAGTTGCGCACCTAGGTATGAGCTGATTGGTTAGGTGTCTCTCGACGATTGGGGAAGCACCAGAGACAACTGCCCTAAACAGAAGTTTTTTCCCGCTCCTCGGGCAGGATTCCACAGCACGGGCACGGGTACGCGGTGGACAGTACAGATTTCGCAACTAGCCACGTAGGGCGGGGAATGCTTACACTTCGGGAAATACGTTTAGTTAAAAAACTAGCTATTTTAGGACCGTGCGAGTTACAGTACTGAAGAAACCACGTGGAGGGGCCGGTCCAGTAACGGGGTCGTGCGGAAGGGGGTAGGCGGCTGCTGCGTCGCCGTGACAACTTTGTGGGTCGCATCGCATCGCATGCCAGCCACCTGAGGAGGACTTGTGATGTGGTGGATTCATGATTCATGAAGCATGGGGGAGAGATCTGGGGACTCCATCTCTAGAAACAGTTCAGGGTGTTGGAAAACTGTTTTCCACAAGCGGTTCAGTACGATGTTGTGCACTCTAGGGCGGTTTTATCACTTCACCATTTTGAACTGCTGCTCACCTCACCACCAGCCTCAACAACAGCACAACACTCGCAGGAGTGGCCTACCTGAGAGAATAACGCGGCACAGTACGTGCTCGACCGACGTCGACTCTCCCCTAGTCGTGCCACGTCTCGCACGGCGGCAGGAACGGAGGCGTCGGAGGGTGGCAGGAAGAGACAGGCAGAGGGAGCCGCCGGTGGGGGGCCGGTGGGACCTGCAGGCGGGCGGACAGCAGGGGAGCCGGGAAAGAGGCCGACAGCCGCCGGAGGGGACGAGGCAGCAGCAGCTGCAGAGCGGAGGGCAGCAGCAGCTGCAGAGCGGAGGGCAGCAGCAACTGCAGAGCGGAGGGCAGCAGCAGCTGCAGAGCGGAGGGCAGCAACAGCTGCAGAACATAGGGCAGCAGCAACAGCTGCAGAGCGGAGGGCAGCAGCAGCTGCAGAGCGGAGGGCAGCAGCAGCTGCAGAGCGGAGGGCAGCAGCAACTGCCGCAGAGCGGAGGGCAGCAGCAGCTGCAGTGCGGAGGGCAGCAGCAGCTGCAGAGCGGAGGGCAGCAGCAACTGCAGAGCGGAGGGCAGCAGCAGCTGCAGAGCGGAGGGCAGCAGCAGCTGCAGAGCGGAGGGCAGCAGCAGCTGCAGAGCGGAGGGCAGCAGCAACTGCCGCAGAGCGGAGGGCAGCAGCAGCTGCAGAGCGGAGGGCAGCAGCAACTGCAGAGCGGAGGGCAGCAGGAGCTGCAGAGCGGAGGGCAGCAGCAGCTGCAGAGCGGAGGGCAGCAGCAACTGCTGCAGAGCGGAGTGCAGCACGAGCTGCAGAGCGGAGGGCAGCAGCAGCTGCAGAGCGGAGGGCAGCAGCAGCTGCAGAGCGGAGGGCAGCAGCAACTGCTGCAGAGCGGAGGGCAGCAGCAACTACAAAGCGGAGGGCAGCAGGAGCTGCAGAGCGGAGGGCAGCAGCAGCTGCAGAGCGGAGGGCAGCAGCCCAATCAGAGCGGAGGGCAGCAGCAGTCGCGATGCGGAAGGCAGCAGCAGCTGCAAAGCAGGGCACAGCAGGAGCTGCAGAGTGGAGGGCAGCAGGAGCTGCAGAGTGGAGGGCAGCAGGAGCTGCAGAGTGGAGGGCAGCAGGAGCTGCAGAGTGGAGGGCAGCAGGAGTCATTGTGGGTGAGCGATGTGGAGATGGTGGACGAGGCAGGCACCGACGAGCTGGAATCAAGCCCCATGGAGGGGGAGAATGCCAACCCCGACTCCTCGGACCAAGCAGGAAGGCCCCGAGTGCGGGGGCGGGGCCGGAGGCGACGGGCAACCAAACTGCTACAGCTGCAGAGGGGAGGGCAGCAGCAGCTGCAGAGCGGAGGGCAGCAGCAGCTGCAGAGCGGAGGGCAGCAGCAGCTGCAGAGCGGAGGGCAGCAGCAGCTGCAGAGCGGAGGGCAGCAGGAGCTGCAGAGCGGAGGGCAGCAGGAGCTGCAGAGCGGAGGGCAGCGGCAGTTCCAGAGCGGAGGGCAGCGGGGGCTGCAGAGCGGAGGGCAGCAGCAGCTGCAGAGCGGAGGGCAGCAGCAGCTGCAGAGCCGGGAGCAGCAGGAGCTGCCGAGTGGAGGGCAGCGGCAGCTGCAAAGAGAAGAGCAGCAGGTGCTGCAGAGTGGAGGGCAGCGGGGGCTGCAGAGCGGAGGGCAGCAGCAGCTGCAGAGCGGAGGGCAGCAGCAGCTGCAGAGCCGGGAGCAGCAGGAGCTGCCGAGTGGAGGGCAGCAGCAGCTGCAAAGAGAAGAGCAGCAGGTGCTGCAGAGTGGAGGGCAGCAGGAGCTGCAGAGTGGAGGGCAGCAGGAGCTGCAGAGTGGAGGGCAGCAGGAGCTGCAGAGCGGAGGGCAGCAAGACCCACTGGAGGAGTTGGATGTGGAGATGGAGGACGAGGCATACACCGACGAGCTGGAATCAAGCCCCATGGAGGGGGAGAATGCCAACCCCGACTCCTCGGACCAAGCGGAAAGGCCCCGAGTGCGGGGGCGGGGCCGGAGGCGACGGGCAACCAAACTGCTACTGCTGCAGAGGGGAGGGCAGCAGCAGCTGCAGAGCGGAGGGCAGCAGCCCAATCAGAGCGGAGGGCAGCAGCAGCTGCAGAGCGGAGGGCAGCAGCAGCTGCAGAGCGGAGGGCAGCAGCAGCTGCAGAGCGGAGGGCAGCAGCAGCCGCAGAGCGGAGGGCTTCAGCCCAATCAGGGCGGAGGGCAGCAGCAGCTGCAGAGCAGAGGGCAGCGGCAGCTGCAGAGCGGAGGGCTTCAGCCCAATCAGAGCGGAGGGCAGCAGGAGCTGCAGAGCGGAGGGCAGCAGCAGCTGCAGAGCGGAGGGCAGCAGCAGCTGCAGAGCGGAGGGCAGCAGCAGCTGCAGAGCGGAGGGCAGCAGCAGCTGCAGAGCGGAGGGCAGCAGGAGCTGCAGAGCGGAGGGCAGCAGCAGCTGCAGAGCGGAGGGCAGCAGGAGCTGCAGAGCGGAGGGCAGCAGCAGCTGCAGAGCGGAGGGCAGCAGGAGCTGCAGAGCGGAGGGCAGCAGCAGCTGCAGAGCGGAGGGCAGGGGCAGCTGCAGAGCAGAGGGCAGGAGAAGCTGCAGAGCGGAGGGCTTCAGCCCGATCAGAGCGGAGGGCAGCAGCAGCTGCAGAGCGGAGGGCAGCAGCAGCTGCAGAGCGGAGGGCAGCAGCAGCTGCAGAGCGGGGGGCAGCAGCAGCTGCAGAGCGGAGGGCAGCAGCAGCTGCAGAGCGGAGGGCAGCAGCCCAATCAGAGCGGAGGGCAGCAGCAGCTGCAGAGCGGAGGGCAGCAGGAGCTGCAGAGCGGAGGGCAGCAGCAGCTGCAGAGCGGAGGGCAGCAGGAGCTGCAGAGCGGAGGGCAGCAGCAGCTGCAGAGCGGAGGGCAGGGGCAGCTGCAGAGCGGAGGGCAGTGGCAGCCGCAGAGCGGAGGGCAGCAGCAGCTGCAGAGCGGAGGGCAGCAGCAACTGCTGCAGAGCGGAGGGCAGCAGCAACTGCTGCAGAGCGGAGGGCAGCAACAGCTGCAGAGCGGAGGGCAGCAGCGGCTGCAGAGCGGAGGGCAGCAGCAACTGCAGAGCGGAGGGCAGCAGCAGCTGCAGAGCGGAGGGCAGCAGGAGCTGCCCGATTGGCTGCAGCTTGCGAGGCTGCCAGAGGGGGAGATGGAGATGGAGTCGAGCAGACAGGTCTTGCCGGCGTGTTCGAGTGGAGAGGAGCACCCAGACCCTATGCTGACACCCCCGCCCCGCATCCCGTGCGAAACCTGTTATCGCACTTTCACGGAGAGAGGAAAGGCCACGCGTCATATGTCGGCCTGCAGGGCAGCGGACGCCCAGCGTCGTGCACAGGCGCTTGGGTTGACCCGCGACGTCACAGACGACTCGGACAGCGAACCTCCGCCACCACGGGATATCAGTGAAGAGGTGTGGGCCGCAGTTCCCACATGGGACTGGGAGTCGTTTTTCGGGATCGAATTGGTGCCAGGGAGAATCATGCGTCGCATCCCACAGCGCGCAAGACTGGGGGTGCTTGATGCACTAGCTTGTATCCTGAAGCGGCTCCAGTCAAAGGCAGCAGACGAGGCGGCATCCTTGGTGTTTTTGGCCTTCCCTCGTCTTTTCTTGGGGATTCCAACTGGGCAAGGCCAAGGGCAGAGGGCGGCAATTAGGGAGCGGTTGGAGAAGTTTTGGGCTGGGGAGTGGCAGCAGCTGTTTGAGTTGGCGGTGGCGGCGATGCAACCTGCGGCTCGCCCCTTGTCCTTCACCCCACCCGAGCACGATCCTGATGCAGTGCGCCTGTCCCGCTGCCGTACAAGGTGCAAAGTGGGGGAATGGAGTCTTACCGCTGGTAGCATCGCTCAGCCCTCTCAGCACATGGTGGACGCGCTACGAGCGAAACACCCATCGTGCGAGACCGCCATTCCTGGGTGGGTGCAGGAGGAGACAGTCGAGCCTTCCCTTATCCCACAGCTCTCAGTGGAGGTACTCGGTCAGGCGATCCACTCAGCGGCTAGGGCGTCCGCACCAGGACCGTCGGGGTGGGTGACGGAGCACCTGCGCGACACTTTTCTCTCTGAGCCCGCGTACCTGCCCCATCTGCTAGAGGCCTTCACCCAGTGGACCAAGGGAGAGGTAGCGGAGCGCGTGCGACCCTGGCTCACTGCGTCCAACCTAGTGGGCCTGTCGAAGCCGAATGGTGACGTTCGCCCGGTGGCTATAGGCGAGGTGCTCCCCCGCATACTATCTCGGGCCATATGCATCGTGCTTCGTCCGAAGATGATGTCGCACTTTGCTCCGTGTAACCAGTTTGGAGTCGGGTCCAGGTCGGGAGTGGAAGTCCTCGCACATGCCTTTCGCTCCGCCATCTCTACTCACCCGTCGTGGTGCGCGCTGCAAATTGACGTGGCGAACGCTTTCAACTCCTTCCATCGGCGGGAAATGTTTGAAGGTCTTCGACAGTCGCCTTTATTGATTCCATTCTGGCGTGTCTTCTATGGCACTCCTAGCGACCTCTATCTCCGTGCGGGCCCTTTTGTCGAAGCTTTGGCCTCCGAGCGGGGCTCGAGGCAAGGGGACCCATTGGGTCCGTTTCTGTTCGCGTTCACACAGCAGCTGGTTATGGAACCAACCAAAACAGAGTTCGCCGACTTACTCTTCCTCAGCTATGCTGATGATACGTATATCCTGGGGCCTAGGGAGCGGGTTTTAGCAGCCTATGAGGCCTTGCGGGAACGATTGGACGGGCTGGGTTTGGAGGTGCAGCCGCATAAGTGTAAGCTATGGGAGCGAGGGAGGAACCAGGATGGGGAGGAGAGAAATGAGACCGTCCCGCCCGGCATGCAGCAGACATGGACGGGGCTCACTGTGGTAGGGGTCCCCATTGGGGAGGAGGACTGGGAGGTGGCTAGCCTGCGTCGCCGGCTGACGGAGCTGCATGCACCTGTCCCTTGGCTTCCTCTGCTTGACCACCCACAGATTGCGTCCCATTTGCTGGCGATCGCAGTGTCAGCGCGCCCGATTTACCTCACACGGACGATGCCTCCACGACCTGAGGTTGTGGAGGCTTTTCGGGACTGGGACATGAAGCTAGAAGATTGTTTCGAGGAGCTGTTTCCAGATAGTACCTGGGATCACGATTCGGGGAAGTCTCAGATGGCTCGTTTACAGCTGCACCTTCCTGCCAGACTCGGGGGGTTTGGCATTCGATCTGCGGCTGACCTTAGTCCTCTGTCGTATGCATGTGGCTGGTGCCAAGCAGTGAGCGATGTGGCTCGGTTGGGGGTGGCAGGTGAGGAGCGGATGTTTGAGGAGTTTTTCCGCACGCCCGAGGCTACGACCTTGTTGGACCCCTGGTTTGCGAGAGCAGTGGATCTGCTTCCACAGTCGGTCCGGCAGGAGATGCCACCCCTTGCCTTGTGCACTGCTGACCCCCCTGTGCTGCTCTTCTCCACACAACACCGTCGCCTAGCGGTTGAGAGCCTTCAATCTCTTCGAGGCATGGCCCACAACGATGTCAAATGTTGTAGCCTATAGTGAGGTTTGTCTTAGGGGGTACAAAACTTAGGGTTAGCTATATGTACCCCAACCAACATCAATGCATCATCCATTCTTCATTCTGACATGGTATCAGTTAGGTTAGGATCCTGTGGGATCCCGTTCCGCCGTTCTCCGTTCGTACCACCCGAGCCTGATCCTAGCTCTCGTTCGTCTCCTTCTCGTTGTTACCGAGCCTAGCGCCGAGCCACGCTCTCGTTCGTATCGTTCCAGCTGTTACCGAGCCTAGCAACGACCCACGCTCTCGTTCGTAGCGTAGCCCGCCCCCCCGTCGCGTCGCCTTCCCCCCCCCTCGAGACGCGCCCGTCCCTTTCCCCCTGTCGCGTCGCGCTCCCCCCGTCGCGTCGCGTCCGCTCCTTCCCCCCGTCGCGTCGCCTTCCCCCTGTCCCGTCGCGCCCCCCCTTTCCCCCCGTCGCGTCGCCCTCCCCCTGTCCCGTCGCGCCCGCCCCTTCCCCCCGTCGCGTCGCCCTCCCCCTGTCCCGTCGCACCCGCCCCTTTCCCCCCGTCGCGTCGCCCTCCCCCTGTCCCGTCGCTCCCGCCCTCTCCCCCCGTCGCGTCGCCCGTCCCCGCAGCGCCCGCCACTGTCGCTCGCGACCGCGCTCGTCGCCGCCGCGCCTGCCGCCGTCGCCCGCCCCCTGCGCGCCTCGCCGCGGCCCCGCCGTCGTCGCCCGCCGCTGCGCGCGTCGCCGCTGCGCCCCCTGCCGTCGCCCGCTGCGCGCGCTGCTGGCCCCTGCTGCCGAGCGCGCTGCCATCGCCCGCCGCTGCGCCCGTTCCCGTTCCCCGCTGCTTAGTCCCCTGTTACCTCCCGCTGTCACGCCCGCTGTGGCGTCCGCTCCTCCCCTGTCCCAGAGTACCGCCGAACCCTAATTTGCCTCTCACCTACTGCTGTCCCCTCCCTCTCCGTTCGCGTTCGTTTTCACTATGGCGACTCAGCGTGTCCTTCGTTTCGACGCTGACGGTAGACCTCTTGATTTTTCCGTCTGGCTTCTTCGTGCTCGCCGTCTGTTAGAGAGTCAGGTCCAGGCAGGCGAGACCCTCTGGGCGCACGCTACTGGTGCCCTACCTGCGCCCCCCGACCCTACGCCTTTAGGACCTGCCCCTGACGACGCCGCTAGAGCCCGCTTTGCCACTCAGCGAGCTGACCAGACGGCTTGGACGTCACGTGACGCTGCGGCCTGCATCGCGCTCAGCAGCCTCCTCCCTGAGTCTGAGGAGGTTCACTTCACTCAGGTTCGCACCGCTGCTGAGTACCTCACTGCGATTAAGGCCCGCTACTCTACTCCCGCTGCTGTCTCTCTTGGCCGCCTGTTCCTCCCGTTCCTGTTTCCTGACCTAGCGTCTTTTGAGCGCTCTGCTGACTTGATCGCTCACCTCCGCTCGCTCGACGCTAGTTACCGCGCTGCTTGCACTGAGGCACAGCTTGCACTGCTTCCTCCCCCTATGGCGATTACTATCTATTTCATCGCCACTAGCCTCCCTGACCGCCTTGCCTCCGTTCGCGACGCGCTTCTGCTGAAGCACCCTAGTGAGCTCACCGTCGAGGTCCTTGAGTCTGCACTCAAGGACGTCGAGAGCAACCTTCGCTCGGTAGCCGCTGCCTCTGGTGCTGTGCCCCCCCCACTCTTCCACGGGTGCACAGTCCCGCAGTTACCCACCTTTACTGCCTCACTTGCCACTGCCGCTACTGACGCGACTGCAGCTGCTGTTACGACTGCGTCGCGGTCCCGCGGTAGGAGTGGCAAGAAAGGCGGTTCTGGTGGTGGTAGTGGAGGTGGAGGCGGAGGTAGTGGAGGTGGCGTTGCGCCTGGCGGCGGTGGAGGTTCAGGGCCTGGAGAGGCGCCTCGTGCAGTGACTGGTGACTCCACTGCGCCTGCTGGTGGTGGCGACGCCCGAGTTCGTCAGTCGCCTCCTGTACTTCCTGCCCCGGTTGGTGGAGCAGCGGCGTGGTACCAGGCTCAGCGTCAGCAGCAGCTTCTGCAGCACCAGCAGCCCCTCTCCTCCCAGCAGCCTCAGCAGCAGCAGCGGCAGCAGCTGGCTCCAGGGTCGGGGCTGCGTCAGACCCAGCGCGGTGCTGCTTACACTCCCTGCACCTACCAGGTTCTGACAGGCACTCGTCGTGGCCACCCTTGTGGCCGGTTTCACCCCCCTGGTCAGTGCTTTGCTCAGCTCACTGACACGGTTCGTTTGGTCTACGGGGTTGGTGCTCCTGCCCCTGACTGGCTGCCTCTTGTTCAGCGTTACGGCTCCGCTCTGTGGGGCATGTCTGCTGAGCAGTTAGTTGATCTGATTGGTAATCCCCATGCTATGTATGCTGTTGTTGACTCTAGTGTTTCTGACTCTGTTTACTCTGGTGTTGTTAGCTTAGGTGCTAGCCTTGCTCAGTTGCCTGTTGCTAGTGTAGGTTCTTGTGTAGACTCTAGTCCAGCGGCTACCTCAGAGGACGGTTCGCTGTCGTTCACGCTGGACTCTGGAGCCTCTCACTGCTTCTTTCGTGACAGCACGACACTTACGCCTCTTCCTGCGCCTGTTTCTGTGGCGCTGGCTGATCCCACTTCGGGACCAGTCACCGCGCGTCACACTACCACCTTGCCGTGTCCGGCTGCTCCTTCTGGGTCTCTCACTGGGAATCACGTCCCCTCGTTCTCCCGGAACTTGGTGGGCGTGCGACCCCTCGTGAGTCAGCACGTGGGTGTGTGGTTTGAGCCTTCTGGAGAGACTGCGGTGTGTGTTGACGGGGACTCTTACCAGCCCCTCGCCACTTTTGCTGCTGAGCCGGGCTCCGGTCTCTACACTCTTCACACTGGCCCGCGCGCTCAGCAGCGACTGCAGCAGCAGCAGCAGCCGCAGCCACAGCCGCCCCTCCTGCCCCCGGCCCCTGTTTTGCCCCCCGTTCGAGTCCTCGCGTCTCACCAGGTTGCTCCGTCCCCCCAGGTAGCTGTGTCTTGTCAGGTTCCTCCGTCTAGTCCGGTCGCTGCGTCGT